AGTCTCAATGATGAGGCTTCATACTGCAAGTGGTGGCTTCCTCGCCTACTTGTCTTGGTGGCGATCAACCATGTGGTGATCAAACTGTATGCACTCCCAGACGTGGCCTCTGCTCCCACACTTCTCTCCCAGCTGGTGCGCACCCTACGAGTCTGCCCCGTGCAACGCCTACTGCGTCGGTCTCAATGGGCCAACTTCGTACTGTAAGTGGTGGAAGAACGAGCCTGTCTGTCAGGGTGGCGATCAATCTTGTGGCCCATCGGATTGTCCCACCGGCACTCCTGCTCCCACCGAAGGTCCTCCTGATGCACATGTTGGTCCCAGCTCCAACTGCGATGCTTACTGTACCGCTATTAATCCTGACCTTTCTTTTGATCGCGTGTCGTACTGCAAGTGGTGGCTCCACGTGCCTGTCTGTTACGATGGTGATCAGCCTTGTGGTCCGAGCGTCTGCAGCAACTTCGGTGAGACTACAACCCCGACTACATCGATCCCATCTGTGACGCCGACTACCCAGGCTACTACTATTTCCTCTGCGACATCTCAGATTGTCACCACGCAGTCGGCCACTACTTTGACTCCTACTACTCAGGCTGTTACCACTGTGACTCCTACTACTCAGGCTGTTACCACTGTGGCTCCTACTACTCAGGCTGTTACCACTGTGGCTCCTACTACTCAGGCTGTTACCACTGTGCCTCCTACTACTCAGGCTGTTACCACTGTGGCTCCTACTACTCAGGCTGTTACCACTGTGGCTCCTACCACACCAGCGGGAACCACTGCGGCTCCCAGAACTCAGGCTACTACTACTCCCTCTTCGACCTCTCAGACTGCCACCACCCAATCGGTAACCACCGTGGCTGCTACAACTCAGGCGGCCACCACTGTGGTTGCTACAACTCAGGCTGTCACCTCTGTGGAGGCTACAACTCAGGCTGTTACTACTGTGCCTCCTACAACTCAGGTTGTTACCACTGTGGCTCCTACAACTCAGGTTGTTACCACTGTGGCTCCTACTACTCAGGCTGTTACCTCTGTGGCTCCTACAACTCGGGCTGTTACCTCTGTGGCTCCTACAACTCTGGCGGCCACCACTGTGGCTCCTACAACTCGGGCTGTTACCTCTGTGGCTCCTACAACTCGGGCTGTTACCTCTGTGGCTCCTACAACTCGGGCTGTTACCTCTGTGGCTCCTACAACACCGGCTGTTACCTCTGTGGCTCCTACAACTCGGGCTGTTACCTCTGTGGCTCCTACAACTCTGGCGGCCACCACTGTGGCTCCTACAACTCAGGCGTCCACCACTGCGGGTCCTACCATACAAGCGGGAACTACTCTGGCTCTCACGACTCGGGCTATAACAACGGTTGTTCATACCACTCAGAGAGCCACTACTGCGGCTACTACTCAAGTGGTAACTACAGAAGCCCAACCCTAGAGGTTCTTATCTTCGAGCGCGTGAAACGGCAGACCTTGAAGATTCGCGGTATGCTAGTTTGGCACGACCCTGCGATAATCATCCATCCATGTCAATGACATGATTTCATCCATTTGTGTAGTTCCAACTGATACTTGAGAGCCGGTTGGCTCGACATTCATTATGTGTATCTTTCAGTACGTTCCCGCTCATGCATCATCCGATTGGATGGGGATGGAGTAATATTCCATGTAATTTGGTGTCGAGTTCGATGATCTTGGGTACTAGCGACATAGCTCGGAGCGGTTCTTAGACGCGATGCGATATGGTGAAAACACGAGATGCACTAATCACGAATTCGCGCTTCGTTTCACTTTGTTCGGTCCGCGACTGCAACGTAATTGTATGTGGTCGGATGTCGTGGAAGACTCGGGATCACATATGGGCGCATTCCATCTGAAAGCAGTGTAATCGGCAGCCAGAGCAAGCCAGGAACTTTCAGACGGAGGTTCATCAAATCGCACAGGTGTGTCACCGGAGTTTTGTGACATCGATCGCGGACAGCATTATCTTACAAACGCCCATTTGCAGTATGCGTATCGACCGCGCTTCTCAAAAAACCTATCTTGATTCGATTGTTGAATAATTGGTCAGGAAAGCTCTATTCGCCAGGTTGTCGAGAGTGTGCTAATAACGCAAATGTGTATGTAACACAACGTCTCCGGAATCTGATTCAAATGAATCCTTCGGAATCTGATTCGAATGAATTCTTGATGCCATCTTGTTATTGTCGACTCCCAGCATTGGAGCAGTCCCGAGCTCTGGCCTGCCAGCTAGCCGGACTCACGCAAGGCTTGCTGACAATTTGTCCGAGCCTGTACGAGTCTTCACGAGTGTGGAAGGATTGAGGCCCTGGAATAGCCACGTGAGACCATGGTCATCGACTTTGCTCAATTGGTGAATAGGATTGTGCGGTTGGTACTTTGTGGACTTCTGTGTGCCGACTTCTGGCACCGTCCAGTGGAGGACCTGCGCACGGTGAAAGAGTTGCGCACGGTGGAAGATAGTAGAATCTTTCCGTTTCAGTCAAATCCATCTTGACTTCGAGTCTATACCACGCAGATCAAATTGGACTATCTTACTCGGAGACAGATGATGTGTACGCTCCTAGATGTAGCACAGTGTTTGAGTAAGTCCACACAGCATGAGATCTCGGTCATGATGGTGTTTAGTCACGCGTGCTATCAGGGTTTCGCTCAGTCCTAGTCATCATGCACACACTATTCATCGCCTGTGTTCTTCCTTCAGCGGTATCAGGGGCTCTACGTCGTCTCCAAGTCAGCACTACCACCTCGGTTCCCGCGACTACAGTCCCGCCTACCACGATTGATGCTCCAACTTTACAGAACACCTGTGATATCTACTGCCAGGGGCTTAACGGGGGTGCTTCTTACTGTTAACTTGATCTTAGCCCACCCACGTGCCAGGGAGGTGATCAGCCTTGTGGTACAATAGCTATTTGTGGTCCCGCGATCACCGTAACACCGACTGACGTAGTACCAACTGGTGATGGAACGTATGAGCCTGCCTGTGACACGATGTGCCAGAGTCTCAATGATGAGGCTTCATACTGCAAGTGGTGGCTTCCTCGCCCTACTTGTCTTGGTGGCGATCAACCATGTGGTGATCAAACTGTATGCACCTCCCAGACGTGGCCTCCTGCTCCCACACCTTCTCTCCCAGCGGGTGCGCACCCCTACGAGTCTGCCCCCTGCAACGCCTACTGCGTCGGTCTCAATGGGCCAACTTCGTACTGTAAGTGGTGGAAGAACGAGCCTGTCTGTCAGGGTGGCGATCAATCTTGTGGCCCATCGGATTGTCCCACCGGCACTCCTGCTCCCACCGAAGGTCCTCCTGATGCACATGTTGGTCCCAGCTCCAACTGCGATGCTTACTGTACCGCTATTAATCCTGACCTTTCTTTTGATCGCGTGTCGTACTGCAAGTGGTGGCTCCACGTGCCTGTCTGTTACGATGGTGATCAGCCTTGTGGTCCGAGCGTCTGCAGCAACTTCGGTGAGACTACAACCCCGACTACATCGATCCCATCTGTGACGCCGACTACCCAGGCTACTACTATTTCCTCTGCGACATCTCAGATTGTCACCACGCAGTCGGCCACTACTTTGACTCCTACAACTCAGGTTGTTACTACTGTGGCTCCTACTACTCAGGCTGTTACCACTGGGGCTCCTACTACTCAGGCTGTTACCACTGTGACTCCTACTACTCAGGCTGTTACCACTGTGACTCCTACTACTCAGGCTGTTACCACTGTGGCTCCTACTACTCAGGCTGTTACCACTGTGGCTCCTACTACTCAGGCTGTTACCACTGTGGCTCCTACTACTCAGGCTGTTACCACTGTGCCTCCTACTACTCAGGCTGTTACCACTGTGGCTCCTACCACACCAGCGGGAACCACTGCGGCTCCCACAACTCAGGCTACTACTACTCCCTCTTCGACCTCTCAGACTGCCACCACCCAATCGGTAACCACCGTGGCTGCTACAACTCAGGCGGCCACCTCTGTGGTTGCTACAACTCAGGCTGTTACTACTGTGCCTCCTACAACTCAGGTTGTTACCACTGTGGCTCCTACAACTCAGGTTGTTACCACTGTGGCTCCTACTACTCAGGCTGTTACCACTGTGGCTCCTACAACTCAGGCTGTCAACACTGCGACTCCCACCACACAGGCTACTACTATTCCCTCTTCGACTTCTCAGACTGTCACAACGCAATCGGCCACCACTGTGCCTCCTACAACTCAGGCCATTACCACTGTGCCTCCTACAACTCAGGCTGCTACCACTGTGGCTCCTACTACTCAGGCTGTTACCACTGCGACTCCTACCACACAAGTGGGAACCACTGCGGCTCCCACGACTCAGGTTACTACTATTCCCTCTTCGACCTCTCAGACTGCCACCACCCAATCGGCTACCACCGTGGCTGCTACAGCTCAGGCGGCCACCACCGTGGCTCCTACAACTCGGGCTGTTACCTCTGTGGCTCCTACAACTCGGGCTGTTACCTCTGTGGCTCCTACAACTCTGGCGGCCACCACTGTGGCTCCTACAACTCAGGCGTCCACCACTGCGGGTCCTACCATACAAGCGGGAACTACTCTGGCTCTCACGACTCGGGCTATAACAACGGTTGTTCCTACCACTCAGAGAGCCACTACTGCGGCTACTACTCAAGTGGTAACTACAGAAGCCCAACCCTAGAGGTTCTTATCTTCGAGCGCGTGAAACGGCAGACCTTGAAGATTCGCGGTATGCTAGTTTGGCACGACCCTGCGATAATCATCCATCCATGTCAATGACATGATTTCATCCATTTGTGTAGTTCCAACTGATACTTGAGAGCCGGTTGGCTCGACATTCATTATGTGTATCTTTCAGTACGTTCCCGCTCATGCATCATCCGATTGGATGGGGATGGAGTAATATTCCATGTAATTTGGTGTCGAGTTCGATGATCTTGGGTACTAGCGACATAGCTCGGAGCGGTTCTTAGACGCGATGCGATATGGTGAAAACACGAGGTGCACTAATCACGAATTCGCGCTTCGTTTCACTTTGTTCGGTCCGCGACTGCAACGTAATTGTATGTGGTCGGATGTCGTGGAAGACTCGGGATCACATATGGGCGCATTCCATCTGAAAGCAGTGTAATCGGCAGCCAGAGCAAGCCAGGAACTTTCAGACGGAGGTTCATCAAATCGCACAGGTGTGTCACCGGAGTTTTGTGACATCGATCGCGGACAGCATTATCTTACAAACGCCCATTTGCAGTATGCGTATCGACCGCGCTTCTCAAAAAACCTATCTTGATTCGATTGTTGAATAATTGGTCAGGAAAGCTCTATTCGCCAGGTTGTCGAGAGTGTGCTAATAACGCAAATGTGTATGTAACACAACGTCTCCGGAATCTGATTCAAATGAATCCTTCGGAATCTGATTCGAATGAATTCTTGATGCCATCTTGTTATTGTCGACTCCCAGCATTGGAGCAGTCCCGAGCTCTGGCCTGCCAGCTAGCCGGACTCACGCAAGGCTTGCTGACAATTTGTCCGAGTCTGTACGAGTCTTCACGAGTGTGGAAGGATTGAGGCCCTGGAATAGCCACGTGAGACCATGGTCATCGAATTTGCCCAATTGGTGGATAGGATTATGCGGTTGGTACTTTGTGGACTTCTGTGTGCCGACTTCTGGCACCGTCCCGTGGAGGACCTGCGCACGGTAAAAGAGTTGCGCACGGTGGAAGATAGTAGAATCTTTCCGTTTCAGTCAAATCGATCTTGACTTCGAGTCTATACCACGCAGATCAAATTGGACTATCTTACTCGGAGACAGATGATGTGTACGCTCCTAGATGTATCACAGTGTTTGAGTAAGTCCACACAGCATGAGATCACGGTCATGATGGTGTTTAGTCACGCGTACTATCAGGGTTTCGCTCAGTCCTAGTCATCATGCACACACTATTCATCGCCTGTGTTCTTCCTTCAGCGGTATCAGGGGCTCTACGTCGTCTCCAAGTCAGCACTACCACCTCGGTTCCCGCGACTACAGTCCCGCCTACCACGATTGATGCTCCAACTTTGCAGAGCACCTGTGATATCTACTGCCAGGGGCTTAATGGGGGTGCTTCTTACTGTAAACTTGATCTTAGCCCACCCACGTGCCAGGGAGGCGATCAGCCTTGTGGTACAATAGCTATCTGTGGTCCCGCTATCACCGTAACACCGACTGACGTAGTACCAACTGGTGATGGAACGTATGAGCCTGCCTGTGACACGATGTGCCAGAGTCTCAATGATGAGGCTTCATACTGCAAGTGGTGGCTTCCTCGCCCTACTTGTCTTGGTGGCGATCAACCATGTGGTGATCAAACTGTATGCACCTCCCAGACGTGGCCTCCTGCTCCCACACCTTCTCTCCCAGCGGGTGCGCACCCCTACGAGTCTGCCCCCTGCAACGCCTACTGCGTCGGTCTCAATGGGCCAACTTCGTACTGTAAGTGGTGGAAGAACGAGCCTGTCTGTCAGGGTGGCGATCAATCTTGTGGCCCATCGGATTGTCCCACCGGCACTCCTGCTCCCACCGAAGGTCCTCCTGATGCACATGTTGGTCCCAGCTCCAACTGCGATGCTTACTGTACCGCTATTAATCCTGACCTTTCTTTTGATCGCGTGTCGTACTGCAAGTGGTGGCTCCACGTGCCTGTCTGTTACGATGGTGATCAGCCTTGTGGTCCGAGCGTCTGCAGCAACTTCGGTGAGACTACAACCCCGACTACATCGATCCCATCTGTGACGCCGACTACCCAGGCTACTACTATTTCCTCTGCGACATCTCAGATTGTCACCACGCAGTCGGCCACTACTTTGACTCCTACAACTCAGGTTGTTACTACTGTGACTCCTACAACTCAGGCTGTTACCACTGTGCCTCCTACAACTCAGGCTATTACCACTGTGCCTCCTACAACTCAGGCTATTACCACTGTGCCTCCTACTACTCAGGCTGTTACCACTGTGCCTCCTACTACTCAGGCTGTTACCACTGTGGCTCCTACAACTCAGGCTGTCACCACTGCGACTCCTACCACACAAGCGGGAACTACTGTGGCTCTTACAACTCAGGCTGTTACCACTGTGGCTCCTACTACTCAGGCTGCTACCACTGTGGCTGCTACTACTCAGGCTGCTACCACTGTGGCTGCTACTACTCAGGCTGTTACCACTGTGGCTCCTACTACTCAGGCTGTTACCACTGTGGCTCCTACTACTCAGGCTGTTACTTCTGTCGCTCCCACAACTCAGGCTGTTACCACTGCGGCTCCTACCACACAAGTCGGAACTACTCTAGCTCCCACGACTCGGGCTATTACAACAGTTGTTCCTACTACTCAGAGAGCCACTACTGCGGCCACTACTGCGGATACTACTGCTCAAGTGGTTACTACACAAGCCCAACCCTAGAGGTTTTCTTTTTCAAGCGCGTGAAACGGCCGACTTTGAAGATTCGCGGTATGCACTCTTGTCGCGATCCCCGCGATAATCTCCCATTCATATCATCCATTTGCGTAGTTATATTCGTCATACGTTACATTCATGAGCCGATCGACATTCATTATGTGTATCTTCTAGTATGTCGTCGGTCGCGTATCATCGGAGGCCACTTTCCCGTGGAATTTGATGTTGAGTTTTATCATCGCATATACTTGCAATTGTCGTAAAATACCCAGAAACGCTGCGACGCACTTGAAGAGGGTGAAGGGATCTCCTTCCGAGTTCCTTCGAGCAATCCCAATCCTCAAATGCTGGGCAATCTAATTACCTACTATGTATTCGGAGCAGTCCGAGAACAACAGCATTAATACTTAAGACACATGATGTTGCATAGAATCCCTCCGAAGAATACCTTGTTCCTCGCCGTGGTCACCTCAAGTAGCGATTTTCAGCGAAAAAGACCGAAACAGAGGCAAAAGACCACATGCAAAAGATCTTTTGCCTCTGTTTCTCTGATGTATTACATGATAGAAATTCTTTACCCTTAATTCTTTACTCTACCTTTGACAAACGACGTCAGAATATATTTTAGATTATCTGATAATTCTACTTCTCAGTAAGGAGAGCTCAACAGAATTTGTTTAGAGGAAGGTGGACTGTACACCTACGACTTCGATGCGCAGGACCTAGACCCTACTGTTCGAACCGCAGTGCCAAGTTGATACTGCCAACGACTAAAAAGTCGCAAATTCACAGGGAACTTCCAAGAGCTCTCGAGCTCCGCTGGTTGTTTGTTTCATAGCGGCGGGGAGATTACCAGTCCCGACCAGAACCTCACAGGTGGGCGCTTGCTGCTCCGGTCAGTGTCATTTTCATCGGTCCTACTGTTACAAGTGTCGACTACTGATTCGTGGTTGATAGACGGGTAAGCTTTGCATATCGGAGAGTCTTGTACGCGCTATATGGATACGAGGCCCCTTCGGAGTTCTTCTCACCGACGTGGAGATGCCCTCACGGGCAACCATGTTCGACGGTAGATACATTCCCAGGCCTTGGTGAGGCCACTGAGCAACTCGACAAGCATGAGCTGCTCCCAACAGGTGAGATCGAACAACATCACATGCATTGCCATAAGGCTAAAAGAGTCCATCGAATAAGTGATCATAGAAGCCCACTCTGCGTTTCGGCGCACCCTCTGCTGGGGTAACTGCTTCAGCTCGCATCGGTAAGGGTGAAGGCTCTAGCTGCCTGTTCGAAAGCAGTTCCCTGTTAGGGAAAAAACTACCGCCGGAGTCGCTCCGCCACGCTGCCAGAGCAACATCCTGGAAGGCAAAGAGCTCCGACCTCTTGCTCTTTCCCGAGTTATCTCTTTCCGAACGAACATGGGACTGTCCTATTCGAGTGGCGCATTGTACTTCCTGCTGCCCGGTGACAGTCCTACAATCAGGTATCGCACGGCTCTCTTTCCCGAGAGAGGGCATATCTAAAGCTGTCCGCGACTCGGTATCGTCACTATCGAATCGTGTTGGTTGCGGATCTTCAGACAAGCCCGCCAAAGCCTCCAAAATGGCAGGGCCATAGGCCTCTACTCGGAACTCGCCAAGACCCTGTACTTGACAGAGTTGTTCGAGTGTGGTCGGCATCATCTGTATGCACTCCTCTACCACAGCATCACTGAAGACGGCATCAGCCCGCATTATGCCATTCAATTCCGACAGTTTTTTCCTCGTCTCTAACAGAGCCCTTCTCGCCTCCCACTCCCGACGTCCCGCACGTCCACTGCCAGGACTCGACCACTGCGGTCTCCTAGTGGACCTCGGCGTCTTCTTGCTGCGTTTGTTCTCTCGTCGAACGATAGCCACACGTGAGCACGCACTACGCTCGCCTACCCTTACGTAAGCTGCGAAGGTGCCATGCATGCCGATGGAGACAACCTCCTCGACCAGGACGCCTTCCACAACCATAGCTCGCAATAGCGAGAGGACCTAAGACCGACTCGAGAGGTGGCATCGACCGGTACCCTACCAGGGGACCAGTAAACGGTGGCTCATTGGACGCCAAACAGGCGAATGAAGGTAGAGACCGCCAGGCTGGCAACAATGACTTGGCGGTCGAGCCGATCGCAGCATCCTGAAGTGAATGAGGCCACGAGCGTGATAGGACTATCACAATGACCCCACCTTTAGGGAACACAAAGTTGGCTTTATGCCTCTGGACACAGCTTCCTCACACAACGATACAATAGCCATTGCCTCCGCCTCGCATCTTGCCTCCAGTACGCTGCTACCACCAAGACCAGCCTGAGGCCTGCCAATGCTGATAACTCACAACGCTAATTCTTGATAAAAAATTAGATGTTTGTGGCGGTCATGATGACGGCAGTGTGGCAAAATATGTACAGGGTCAACTACATGTGTTGGTGACAGTGTGAAAATTGTGAGAAAATTTGTGAAAATTCTTATTGGTTTCTGCACACTTCTACCCAAATTCGTATACAAACTCCCAAAATCAGTGAGAAAACTCTCAAGCTCATCTGAGGGAAGCAAACACCTATTCCAACACTAAATGATCGAAATGCCATGATGCGGTTCTTGGGAAAACATAGCGATTTTGTGGGCACAGGACGACTAGGAACGCACTTGTTGTTGTTCGATGCAGACATCACATGGTAGACTGTTGCTGTCGAGGCAGGTGGCCACTGGGCCCGCCTCCGTTCCCAGATACTTCAACAGTATGATACGTCGACACTGTGTCCCCGACTCGCAATATGCCACGAGGGCCAGCAGAGACTTCTTCTGCTCGCCAATTAATTCGTGGCGTGCGTGAGTGGAAATCCCGGCTCGAGATCTGTCCCCGCCTTGTTCGATCAACCATTGGTTCCTATTCTTGGAGTAGTAGTCGTAGTATCTGCAAACAGTCAACTGACTACAGCAGCAATAGTCGACTTAGAGTGTACATCACAGAGTAGGATGGTCGGCCGTCTCTGCCGGCTCGGCCGCTTTCCTGATAGAAGGCCTCGAGGGTCTTGGGCATACTATAGTGGATAACAAAGCGGACGTCCCTCTTGTTGATACCCATACCAAAGGCCACAGTCGCCGCCATAACTTGGATCTATCATAAGGGTCACTCTCATGCATGCACTTAACACATATTTAGCAAGTTGAAATGGGGGATACTTCAATTCGAATCCCGTTCCGGTCGATGCCAATTTGGAACACGTTTTCAAATATGGAGTTTGGAAGACTCTATTTAGAAATAGTCAATTTCTACCATTTTTCAGGTGTAAGATTGGGAAACGAGCTCTGTCGCGAATTGATCAGCCAGGGAGGAAAAATGCCAACCAGGAGACCCTCATAGGTCCATTCGGCACAAGGAGTTCTTTTCCCATGCCCTTCCGGCCCGCCCCACCTCGTTGTCCATCCAGAGCTTCTGATTGGTGTCCCTGATGGACTGTGGCAAGTCGGCATGATAGACCGCAGCCTTAATGCTGTAAGCTCTTAGACCTGTCGAGACCTGTTCACAGTCCTTCTTGCTCATGCAGTAGATGATGCCACTGCCTCTACCATCCTTCCCACTCAACCTGCAAGGCACCATTCGTCGCCTTCGTAGAGTTCTCCATGCCTTACTCCCTGATTTTCCCAGCGAGAGACTCTAACATTTTGCCCTTAGATGGTCTCTTCACGACGGAGTAGGAGATATTAGTCCGATTCAGCGAAGTTCGGATAACAACTGTGCTGGAGGTAGGCATACCTAGGCTCGATACCGGCAATGGCCCACCACGAAGACTACTGCTGAACAGGTGAGCAACTGTATGGTCCTCTAATAGTAGTATTGGATTGAGACTGAGTTATGACTAATACTATTGTGGAGTGGTAGGTCAACAGAAAGCCATAGCATTGGCACGGTAGCAGTGCGGGAATCGATGGACTCTATTATATATAGAAGTAGGGGTCACCAATATGACCGTCCCACTCGAGTATATAATAGTCCATCACTAAGTCTAAGCGTTGTTGAACTTTCAGTTTGGAAAATTGAGTCCGCGGAAAATACTGATCTTTCGAATTTTCAAAAATACACTCCTCACTCACCAAGTTGCAACATGATATCTTTCATAACATCAGGTTTGGCAGTAGCTGTCATGGCAAGAATTGGTACTCCCGGGAAGGTCCTGCGATAAAGCAAAGAACGCCATATCGTCATGATGCCTACTTCCTGATGTTGGCCAGCAGCAGATAGTCCTCGCGAAAGTCATGACCCCATTGGCTAACACAATGGGCTTCATCAACGACGAAGCCGTGGAGCAAACTGTTCCTATATAAACCCGCTAGAAGATCCAGAAGGCGTTTCGATGCCGACAGCCTCTCGGGCGTCACGAAAAGCACCTGCCCCACTGACTCGCACGGAATTCCAGTGTTGGAGGAATATATGTTCGCTCCCCTCAGCTGGGCTCGAGAGTTTCCTCACTTACTATGCAATTCGGGTAGAAGTGTACAGAAACGAATGAGAATTCTGTCAGTATTTCCGTATTGTCACCACCAACGTATGTGGTTCACTATGTGCGTATTGCCCCACACTGGGAGACTCACTCTTAGTTTTCCTGAGAAGAGTTTCTTGAAGGTCTCAACTGGGGGCATTGTATGGGCAGCTGAGGAGCTGAGGCCAGCACACAATATTCCACATTGGGAGAGTTGTGCTTCTTGATCGAGTATCAGCGAGACCAGCGGACAGATCACAACAGTCGTGCCACCTCGTCTAGCCTCGTGATTCACCTGAACCACGTTACGGTCTATTAGGGAGAGGAGGCCCACCAGCAGGGAGTCACCCAGGAATCTTTAATGTTTCCGGAGGAAACTCATTGTGAACTATCCACGTATGGTTAGGAGCACATTCCTCAACAGTTTCCCAGGTGAACGTGATCACATTAGGAACATTTCTCCCATTTTTATCGAACCCTCGGGAACCTTATTTCTCATGTGCCCCTGCTCACCAGAGCTGGTATCTGGTAGCAGAGACTTTTGCCACCACCTGTGGGCATCACGAGGAAGACATCACGCTTGGACAGAACGGCGTTGATAGTCTCCAGCTGGTTGGGTCGGAACCCTCCCTGATTGCCGAACGTGAACCTGCGAATTTGGCAGTCAGCCTCAACAAGGACTCGAAGGCTCTGAACCGACTGGTTCCTGCGTCTGACTTCATTATCCCAGGGAAAGGCACCACACCAATAAGCCGCATCGACGGGCGCCGGACTGGTGTCTCTCAGTAGCTGTGCCGGACCGCCATCACGCGACTGAAAGGACCGGCCTTGCCTGGCTGTTCACACAGTGTTATAGTGTACCAGCTTGTCGGCAACCTTCTCCCATACGGAGACCGTAGATCGCCCCCTCACACGAGTGACGTCCTGGCAGATGAATGCAGGGAACTTGGGGTATAAGCCGTCTCACAATGCCGTCAGTGAAGCACCTCATGAACTTCAGGCGTTCATCTTCAGCCTCTTCAATGGTGAAGCCACTGATAGGGTTCCTCCTTTTACCACGTTGAGGAGATGCTTGCGCCTGGATGATGCCTCGCGGTAAAGGCGATGTCGCCGCTGAGAAGTGACTTGGAAGTGATGCCATGGCACGAGCGATTGAAATGCAGCAAGAACGACATCTTTGTGATAGTCTTCACAGATGATGCCACAATTACGGTTTTTCATATGTACTGTCGATTCGACAGGAAGAAAGGCCATTGACGACTACACTCGACGCCGATGTGACGGACGAAAATGTTCGTATGAACTGAATACTCGCAGCATGCCATCTTAGCACGTCCATGTTCGAGGCCACGGATACCTGGCTGACCAAACGCATGCGGCAGGTATATGGTAGTTTATGGTCATGAAGAAGCGCTCCAAGCGTAGGTCAACAACGAAGAGATCCCGATGAGAGCAAATGACAGGACTCCTGTCACAGGAGCACACGGACTGGTCCAGGGCAAGCCGTATAACTAGAAGGAAGTAGGTATAGATAACAAAGAGAGTATGGCGAGGTTATGGCCGCTGACATCGGGAGTAGAAGATACTCGTGCATCACCATTGTCGCTGCCCCGATCCCCCGTAGCACACAAAATGTCTCTCTTGGAGGAATCCCTAAGTATGATGCTCATGGTGAAGAAAGTCTACATCGATTAAATTCGACCAGGCTGCTGCTGCTGCTGCCTTGACAGGGCCTTGTAAGCCTTGTACTGCTGGTGCCTGCCTTCCTGCAGTTATATCTAGTGTAGTGTTATCTCAATGGGCAAATCACAAACACGAGCCTCCGACTACCGCTCGCATCAATGCATTCGATAAAGAAGCTCTAGTCGTCGCTGAGGAAGACAAGGGCCCACAAGCATAACAGCAAAGTCAGATAAGGCTCCTCAACATCATCGTCCTCAACGACACCAGCAAACCGATTACAGTAACTGTGAACTGCAGGACCAGATCGGGATCTTCTGGATACCCGATGGAAGCCCAGGTGGGTTATTGACTTGAAAGTTCGAGGGATGAGCTCAGAAACAAATTCCTTGCGGAAAACACAAGCAACGCTCTCGTGGTAGAAACTCTTTTTATAGGGTAGTGTTGAATACTCATATTCAATCTTCTGAAAATGCATAGTCGAAATACTCATCGCGCGAAACTGATAGAAAAAGCGTAAAAACACACAATGTTGCAGTGTAGAAGCGCTACAGCTGCCGTCCTCATCCTGATCGATATTCTGCATAAATCTGTCCACGAAAGAATCCGACATATCCAAGAAAATACTGCGAATCTCCTGGGCATCTACACGACCTGATCACAGCTGTGTCCCCGGCTGATGCTGCTGGCGTTACCATTCCCATCAAGGTCCATCTCCTGCATCTGGTCGTCAAACCGACCCATGGTCTTCGCATCGACACCCTCAACTGTGCCATGCACGACCGCAGACCCTATATGGGATAGCACGCAGAAAAGCAGCAGGAACGACCGCATTGTAAGAAAAACACTCACGAGTCGGTGATGACGAACAGACTAACACAACAATAAGAAGGGTAAGCTGCTGCTCTGAGGACCTTTATGCGAACGAGATATGATTCAACCATCTTCCACCACATCCCCGATAGACTCCTCCCATCATGATAGCCACCAATGGGCGGCTGCTAACTGAAGGTCTCCCTCCTGTCTTCGTGCCACAGTAGCACGTATCCTTGTCCGTGAAATTGCATTCCTTCATCATGGAATTGATGTCCCTATCAGACCTTCACCGCTAAGTTAATAAAAAGATATAGAAGCCTTCTATATTTTTTACTTGGCGGTTAAGGCTATCAGCCTTCTATAAGAAGGCCTCGTTCGTTCGACCAGAGGGCCACGAGCCGAGTTTTGCCGACAGGCTGACAGATATGTGAATACGCGACACTTTCCTCAGGACAACGATGCGATATTCCTATGCTGATGACGACTCGAGGAGTGAATGATTTCAAACCGACTCCTTGGAATGAAAGCCAACCTAGGCTTAGTCCTACCTTAGCTCACTGAGTGCTTCGAAATTGCGCCTGAATTTGTCTGTTATTCGCACGCACCGAGAAAATTAGGACCGTTAGGTCCTTTTTTTAATCACCTTGTACTACCAACCTCACACAGACTAAAGCCGAAGTGTCTTGCCACGGGTTCACCTAACAACCTCAGCATAGACTCTTTCAAAAGGCACCACCGCTCAAACGCAATAGTAAAACACAACATTAATACTTTGATGATAATAGTCAAAGGCTTACGGCTTACGGCTAAAGCCAAGTAGAACTAAATGAAGATTTGTCAACGACTACTTTCATCGCCGACCTAGTGATCAGTCAATACAGCTTCTATATACTCTTCCCATGTGACTGTCAACAATGGCTCAATAGCTGCAGACTTACGAGAAATCAACTTACCTAAACCGTCATTATTAGTATCCAATTTCCCCACTGCTTGGAGCATGTCCCGGTCCGCTAACAGCCACTGATCATCAGAAATGCCAAGCAAGGACGACCTGACTTCCTGCATGTCAACATAACCTAACAGAGAGAGAGTACAAACTGATAGAAAAAGAGGAAAACTAGAGTACCATCCTCGTTGGCATCGAGTGACTGGAAATGTTTGGTGAACATTTCCTCACGTTCCGTGTCGGCTCGTACGAGAAGCACATCAGAACAGAAAATATGCAGTACCACGACTGATACAAAACCAAGTCGCATATGCAGAGAAAACCAACAAAAAACTAAAACGAAGAAGCACCGATACTCGACAATCACAGATCTGATCAGGGAGGACGTTAATATGCGATTTCTGAAATTGCCGAGCGAGTGGATCGCGCAGAGCGTAAACCTCTAAACCACAGGCTAAAACCCAAATTGTGCGTGCGTGCAGACCCAACTACCAAGTGTCTGAGGAGGTGCCCAGCACGACTCTGTTGAATCCGCCACCTGCCGCGGTTTTTCGAAAAACTTGGCCACGTGCGCGGCTTCGAAACATGTGTAAGAGAACTCTCAACTCCTTCAAGCGCCGAGTTCGGGACGCGATCTCAAATGTATCAACAAAGGCTTATGATGACAAGACGTAGAATCTACACCCACTTATGACCGGCGCCCTTAAAAATCAAGCCTCAGCATCTCGTCCACACACCGATCATCATTGGTTAAAAATGCGGACTAAACGAGCTCCACCTCTCCGGAGACGTGGTGGACACTACGCAGTTCCTATCGTAGCTTCGCTTTAGCAGGAGGATCGTATCAAACTGCGGCCGCTTCATCAGAGGAGTTCAGGAAAACTCAGCGAGGGTGACTTTGAATGAAAATCGCATCATATAAGAGTTAACGGTCCCTAATAGTGCTGAGAACTACCATCACTCCTCCCAATCCAAACGCAGAGCTGAGACGAGGAAATACCAAGTGGACAAAGCCTGGCTGGAAACTATAGGTTTTGCCCTAGAGCAGTCATCATTCCGTCGACATATTCCGTCCAAGTAACTGAGAAATTTACGAATACGCAGTTATTCAATGGAGCCGCTTATCCACTGACGATTCTCCCAAATCACATACAAGGAATACTCATCCCCAACGAGAGTCCTCTTCCATGAGGCTTCAACACGCAAAGCACCACACAGACTAAAACAGAGCGCCGAAACGGCCGAATCGAGGAACTTAATAATAAGACTCTCCCAGCAATTTACTAAGCAAGTTCATGCTCAGTTCTTGTCAGTGGCAAGAACTAAAGCCTTTCTAACTTCACTAAAGCTGTAGACAGCGATAGGTTAGTCAACTCGATCAGCCCACATAGATAATCTCCCATATTACGAACGCCGTCTTGATTGATATCCATCGCCCTGGTAATATTAATCATATGCCGCTCGGTTATATCAGAGAACTCTATAGGGTAGTCCAAAACAGACGCGCGTAGCTCCTGCATATCCACTAAACCTGACAAGTCTTAGTAACGACGACCAGTAGAAGCATCGACTCAAGACCATCCTCATTGTAGTCCATCGTTGAAAAATGGTCCTTGTAGAGTTTCTCCATCCCTTCGTCACCAATCCCTCGCCCAACCAACGTAATAACTAATACCATCAGAAGGTTCATCGGCCGTAAAACTATCAAAAGCTGCCAAATCGACACCACTATCTACCCGAACTGCCGTCAAACAGCACGAAGGTAACGAAAACACTGCCTGGGAGACGGTTGGTCACTCCTTGGGGTAATTTCACGTGCTGATCTACTACGCGTAACTCATGTGGATGACAAAGAGACATACGCACGAGGATGAACCATTCGCGGAAGATACAGGAAGTGCTCATGGTGTGGTATAAGATTAAATATCCGACTGCTTAGGGCTGGAGTTCCTCATAGAGGCATCAGCACGGTTCGTGGTCAAGGTGAGCTCTAGGAATTCACATTGACGATTGAATTTGAAACAGCCCACCTGCAGATTCAAACATGCACCCAGCCGTGTCCGAATATGCCAGAGATTAGGCGACCTTTGGACAAGTCAACTCAGACACAGAGCTGTCAACGGCCTTTTCGACGAGGGAGAGTGTCCAAAGACAGCCCTAGATCCCGCTCTGGACAGTTTGTCCGAACTTGATACTTGAGCCTCCTTTCGCCAACATTTCGCCACATCGCCAGGATGATAAATAAGATCAGAGGCTTTAGAATTTCCAAACCTAATGAAGAATTTTCCGTACCGCCTGGGGCTGAGGAAGCCTCGAGAGCCACGTCGTTCAAGGAAGGGTTTTTTTCCTCAATTTGAGTAGCAGCACATGATCGATGCAACATGCAAACTCTTTGTGGGGTTGCGATGAGGACGACGGCGTCGACATTGGCTAACGCGAGGCAGAGGAGAAGAAGGAAAACTTGAGCCAAGATGGCTACAGTTAGTGACAAATGAACTATAGCTACCTCGAAGTAATCATGCTCTAAGTTCCGCTACGTGGCTGCGTACTACTAGATAAAGCGCACGCCCTAAACCCTTACAGCTTTCTCCCCCTTCGTGAGCGGCCATAACGTGAGGAGCTTAAGGGTCCGAACGCGGGCACAAAACGGTCCGAACGTAGGCAAAGCTTGTAATGGGGGGATGAGCAAGTCTTACCGCGGGCCTCAGGCCCGCTTCTTCGTACTAGACGCCCAGACCCTCCATCATGTGCTACGATCCCTGATAATCGAGCGATAGATAGGATATATTACTCGACTTGCGAGACACAAAGCGAGGTATATGTGTGTTACATATATACATCACAATGCTGTGAACAGAAGCTCAGTTGCATTGTTAATGATAAATTCAACATGTATAGGATCATGGATATCTGTATATCGTTCAAAGTCTGCTTTTCAGATGGAGATAGACTATCTCAGATAGTAGATGAGGCTATAATGGAAATTGACATGGTGCTTCAAATCGATATCAGGATTATATGATATAATGATATATAGATATAATTTATATCTTTCAAACATATTTGCTGCAAAGTTCTACATCAAGCTGATCGTTAAAAATGATTTCGCGGCCCGGGCAGTGTCCCTTCATTGGGACCTGCCCGGGACGCATGCAACTTACATCTCCATTCTCAAATGTCTACATCCACATTCAGGCTGATGGCGCAATTATAATGTCTTACATGCTGTATAGAGGGTCATTTTGGAGCATTGTATGTGATGGGCCGTCAATTTTTTGTCTCATGTGTGTCCTTATGATTGACCACTTCTCAACTCAGTTCATTTGACTTCGTGTTGATGACTAGCAGCTGAGCTGCGAGTGATCCTAGATTCTGTGAACTATAGAGTTGAGGAGCGTGGACGAGATTTGAGGGCTCATGTCAGCGATTGCTGAACTTTGGTGTCTCGAATATCATATCCATGGCTATTCTGATACAGTTCAAACATACACCTAGATTCTGTGAACTATAGAGTTGGGGAGCGTGGACGAGATTTGACCGTTCATGCCAGCGATTGCTGGACTTTGGTGTCTCGAATATCATATCCATGGCTATTCTATGGAATATCATATTCTGTTATAGTAGTTGTGGTCATGGTGGTCACGGCCTGTTACGACTAGCGTTGAAGTAGTGCTCGTCATATTGAAATAGCCGTAGTGGTGCGATCGCAGCAACAGTTGGTGTGGTAGCCGTACCTGCAACTGTGGACTATATGTCATAGTTCTCAGTCATTGGTTCATCAACGTATGCCCGGTCCGCTCGTTATCAAACTACGCTACCGCAAACAAGTCATCCGCAGGAGGGTGGAGTCGACAGAGTGCAATTCATACTCGCATGTATTGAACCTTATCACCGAGGCCTGGCCTGCCCTTGTAGAACAACAGTTCTCCGTACACTACGTCGACGATGATGGCGATAATTGATGTGCAATCTTTCGGGGATGCCGTTGCTTTAACCCGAGATGGAATGACAAGCCTGCAGCTCTTCGTAGAGGTGAGCCGCGCCTGCATTCGATACGTCACGTAGCCCACCTCGTCCTACGAAATCTTGTCAGACTCCTCAAGAAGCTGCCTCTCGCTGTACCCCTCTGAGCGCTAGCAGCGAACGCTCCACTGAATCCTCCATCGCTGACCTAAAGACTGATAATCCGCCGAAAGAGTGAGCCCACCACCATCGGATAACCAATGGCAACCTTTTGGTTTCAGGTGGTCTTTAAGGGCCCGCGTGACTACCACACCAGTTATCCGAGAATTTGAGCGCAACAACTTTAAAGGCAGCTACTTCACGGTCAATCTCACCAAAGTATCGGTGAGTTTAGATCAGCTCACCTCATCAATTAAACCAGCGGCCTCAGCTGGCTTGACTTCAAAACCCTGCTCAACTGAGCAGGTTGCGATAGTCTTCTCAGCTCTTCGAAGACACTGCGAACAGCTGGGGATCCATCATATGCCTACAACGATAGTTGGTGATTCTGCCGACACGTTTTCGAAAGCATATGAGGAAGTAAGCCGAGCACCTGTCGCGCAAAATATATAATAATTTTTACAATATCTTATATAATATTTTTTTATAATAATTTTTATGATAATTTTTGTGATAATTTTTACAATATTTTTTATAATAATTTTTAATTATTGTAAAATTATTCTTCAACTTACTCCTATAATGTAGGTACTAATTTAAGAAAACTCAATATTCAAATAAAACTCTAATTGAAGAATAAAAACGAATATAACCGGAATGGAAATTAAAACAACGAGTACATTTCTTTTCGAAAAGATCGGCATAAAAGTAACGTCAAATACAGTTATGCTTCACATTTGTAAAATTGTCATAAAAATTAATGTAAAAAGCATTGTAAAAATTATTGTAAAAATTATGATGAAAATCATGATAAAAAATATCACAAACATTATCATGAAAATTATAATAAAAAATATCATAAAAAAAGTTGTAAAAATTATTGAGAAAATAGTAATATTGTAAAATTATTTTACATATTATTATTGAAATTTATTCCAAATTGAAAAATAGAAAAAATGTAACCGAAGCGTAAATCAAAGTAATAAGTACGTTCAGGATTATTGAGATTACATTAACGTTAAATATAGTTATACTTCAGATTTATAACCAGTTAAATCCCGTCGGGCTAACAGCCCAATTTAAGTGGCCCCTCAATCAACATCTCGAATATCGGCTGTATTGTTGGGTCCATATGTACCGCCGGGTTGTGGCCCATGCGAGCTCATATATAAATGTTGAAAGCGAAGGAACACGCGAGAACGCTAAGACGAAGAAGGGAGTAACTTGTGATTCCGCCTTACATGGATTACATGGAATCCTTCGATCTGCATGGTGGCACTTCCGATTGTATAGTACGAGCGAGTAGGCAGTCATATACAGAGAGGTCAAAAGGTTGCTTGTGAGACATGAGCCATACAATTTTGACAAACTCAACACAGCTGTTACAGATCAAAAACACAGCTCGACCCGCCCAATAGGGACTTCATACGGAGTGGGGTTGCCATGTCGTTCTTACCCGAATGGCGAAACTTCGTTATTACCACACGGAGAAGACGGTCACTATTTGAGTATCTGCCGAAAATATTGTAGTTTGTATTCTGAGCGTATTCTACTATTCCAATAATAGAAACAGCCGAATAATTGGAAAAGAGTTAGTCCTCAAGCTCTTAGTCCTCAAGACTTTCATCTACGACGTCGACAGGAGAAGCACGGTCATCATTTTCCTGCGATGCTTCTGATCCGCAGCAACAGCGGCTTCGACAGCCAGACGACGTTCGCGAACCGCTGGTGGTTCTAACCCCCGGAATACCTGTCGCAATAATAATGAACAATTCATAATGCCATCTACATTACAGAACCCGCCAATCCGCCTCGATCAACGCCTTGATTTCTTTCATTCTGTTGTTGTGATCGCTGCTGTTGGTGCGCTAACTGTTGCTGTCGCTGCTGCTGCTGCTGTTCTCGCTGTTGCTGCCGTTGTAACTCTTGTTCCACCTGTTGCTGTTGTTGTTGCTGCTGCTGCATCAGTTGCTGTTGTAGTTGTTGTAATTGCAGCATTTGTTGTTGCATTTGTTGTATTAGGTCGTTTTGTGGTTGTTGCTGTTGTGGTGGTGGTGCATTATTAACCTGGAAGCAGGGCATTATTTAATAAGAGTCACGCCGCGTGACTCACGCGCATGCAGTGCACGAAGGATATTGATACATTACCGGCTGTACTGCGATACGGTGACCGTATTACGGTCACGATTTCCTTGGTTGGCAACTTGCTGTACTAGGGCATGTGAAAAAACAATGATACGTCGAAATAAGCGTCCGACTCGTGCATACTTGGTTGATTGACATTTTGTCATTGTGGGCCCTGGATCCGTGCTGCTCTAATACTGAGGTCATTAGCATTTCGGACAACACGTCTCAATCTGCAACCAAAATACCTCATTGAGAAATTTAAATGTCTCACCTCATGGCCTTGTATTGTATGACCTCGGGAGTGGTATTGAACCGTCGCCGAGAGCAGACATGCAGTTTTGACTCAGTGATAGCTCCCTGCTCATCAGCACTGCTGATTCAGCAGTTGCAGCCACTCTCCCTGGTTTTACCCAGGCCGTAGCGACCCATCCACCGTGACTATTAACGTAGGCTAACATCTCCCTAATCTCCGGTCGTATTGCCAACCCACTCCACTGGCAAGTCTCCTACAAAAAAACGAATTGAAATACTTACGACAAAAACGATCTCACCAAAGTTGCTGCGTCGTCTACGAAATAGACTGTTAGCTGATGCGAGGATATCGTGACGGAGCGGTTCAGGGTGGGAGTCTCGAGGACGAACTGCACCACCCATTTACTCTTCGTCGGATCCGTCGCGACACAGCCACAGCGTTTAAAAGGTGGACCTTGTGCATCGCACAAGGGACCAAAGCAGCAGTCCTCTATAACAGTCGCCCTCAGCAAGTTGACGGATTCCACGCGAAAGTTATAAACTATAACGAGTAGAGCTCTCTATTCCACGTGGTATATCCGTCAAGACCTCATCGACCGCAATAGGAATCAACCTATCGGGCAAAGACAGCAACTTGAGACCGTTTTCCAATCGACCAACTGTCGATGGTTCGATCAAAGCTGCTGTGGACCCTGGAAAGAGGTCACCAACAAATTTGAAAAGGTCGTCACTCTGGCTACTACTGTAACTGATGACCACCCCCTGAAGAAATCTTAACACTACTTCAGCACTACTATCGGAGCACTATTACAGGTTCTCCGCTGAGGACGTCATAGCACAGCAACCATCTATGGTAGGATTGCTCAGCCATAATCCTCTTGTTCTCCAATGAGTAATATAGAGACATTTCCGAATTCCAACTCGCTGTTATTCTTCCCATTCTTCAACCACGTAGATGCGAGGGAGAGCCCGCCGAGTATAGTATTATGTAGGCAAGCTACTTCGTCGAGAATTAGGACCCAATTGTCTTGTATTGTCATTGTCGGATTCCCGTAGCACGTAACTTGAGTGCAGGACCGCGGAAGAACTCGAGGTTATCGAGGGTCAACAAACGAACTTCACACAATCCTGCAATACGATTCACTTCATTCGATTAAAACGGAACAAAAGTTCTCCTCACACTGTGAGGCTCACAGTTAAGTCGGGCTATTTCGGAGCCTTCGAATTCTCGTAGTGGTCCAATGAGCTTCATACCTGGGAGAGTCTTGGAAACTGCCTCCGGATGGCTAGACGACATGCAATCTGCGAGTCACCCATGGGAGTTTTGCTTCATATGCGATGATTTACTGAACACAGACTCCCCAGCATGTTCCCGTGATAGCACCGAGAAACAGCTAACCGATGCGTAACGCATCATGCGTTTCCGATACGGTGTTGATCCATTGGAACATCGGAAACTGAACGATTTCACGTTTTCAGGTCATTAACAGTGCGAGAGGCTCTCGCCGAGAGCCTGGGGAATAATGTGCTGTTCAACGAATAATGGATCATCCAAAGTGGACCAGTCCCTTTTACACATTTACACATTCAGACGCATTCTCCCGCTCAAGGTTATTAACTCCCTCTAACGGCTCGTAGTAGCAAATTGCTACTAGCAATGCTAACGTCATAGTGTCAGATGGATGACGAGAACGAAAACCCGCTTGGAGAGAGTGTGAGGACTTGAAGTGTTAGACTTTCCTAGTCAACTCATTAGCTATCGCAACTCAATGTTGCACACGACTTCGGAGTTCTTGACTAACATAATCGGTGTTGTCAATAGTAGGTGGAGAAGCAAACTCCAGGAGCCTATTTCATAGGATACCTTAGATCAGAGCGCTCATGAAACTCGAAACTTTCTGATGTAAGGCGTCCTATGAAATAGGTTCCAGGATGAAAAATAAGATCAGAGGCTTTAGAATTTCCAAACCTAATGAAGAACTTTTCGTACCGCCTGAGGCTGAGGAAGCCTCGAGAACCACGTCGTTCAAGGAAGGGGGCCCTATTTTACTCAATTTGAGTAGCAGCACATGATTGATGCAACATGCAAACTCTTTCATAGAACAGGCCGGCTGGGAGGTGACATCTCCACCAGCCGATAAGTGGTGGACATTAAAACTTGCATTCCATTCATCAAGGGCCCTAGTTTAAGAAGTAGGGGAGAAAATTTAAAATCTGAGGACAGCATCAAAATTTACGGTAGGCAATTAGAGGACAGCGCTCACGAAGTCCGAGTTCGATCCGCAGCAAGGGCAATTCTCCTATTAAAATTACCGCGCGCCACGAAATTGCAAAGTGTGCAAATTGACGTGCTGGAGGTATCGGCAGATTCGCAGTAAACAAGGACCTTCCGGGAGTGGTATGGCCATGTTGGGATTCCCTCTAAAATATAAACTATTTTCGGCTGTTGCAGTTTAAACAAAATAGTGTTGCAGTTCACACAACGTAGCACCCCGCACGGACCTGCTGAGTTTCAGACTTGAGACCTTGAGATTGCGAGGCGTGAATACTAACTAGTAGACTAATGTCTACTACATTGGTTTTTTGTTTATACGAAGTCATCAGGTTCCACTGTGATGACCGGCTCTACTGACCTATATAATGTTCGGAGTATATGACTCAATATGAGTGAGGTCGGATACTCTCTGCCTGCCATCGACCCAAATCCACGAATGCTGATGGCAACTCCTACACTACCGCGATACGCAATGCTCAATAATAGTATCTGCATGTTCATCAATGGCACAACTGTTAAAATTCATTCTATCAAGATTTGAACTCGGATTACCGGAACGATATACTGGAAGACTAACCGGTCGACTATATCACTTGTACAAACTCGAAATTCTCTGTTAGAGTCGCCGGATTTTCAGAATAAGCTGTATCTACTTGTAATCACTCGAGTGTCGGCCCCGAGTCCAGATCAGAGGCGAGAGAAGGTTCCATTAAGTTTCGCCTAATGGTGATAGCACTTTGTTGTTTCCAACGAAAGTGTACATTTGCGTTAGTAGTAGTCTAGAGGTGTAGCAGACGTTGAATCTCGTGGCGAGTGACGGAGCGTGCCTCAAAGTAGTTTTGAGGACAATCAGTATGGACGGCGGACCAAGAAGCGACGCACAGCAGCAGCAAAAAGAAGAGGTTATAATGGGGAGGGGGTTTTCTGTGCTGCATTTGGTGATGCCGGGGTATTTATATAGAATAGATAGTATTATATACTCGGTAGTGCTACAGTAACTTTATCATATCTATTACTTATATTGTTTTTAAATGAGGCATTTTGATGGTTCACTATGGATAACGAACCTCCACTGAGTGGCTTCAAGTAAAGCGCATCGGAAAATCAAGAAAAGCGATGGCATCACTGATAAGGAAATCTAAGCTGGTTACAGCACGTACAGCTGAGTCTCTGACCGCGGAGTCCTTGTGGTTGGAGTATCATGGTTGTGTTAGATGCAGCGTCCTCGAGCTAATGGTAGAGTGAGAGCTTGGACGGTCGAAGATGTTAGACGACTCTTCACCGGCGATGCAGCTAAGGAGGCTAGTGAGGCCCCGAAGCAAGGGAATCGAAAGGGTAGGAAGCCTCTCGGGAGCTAACGTGTCACAATTCAATAGGTGTTGGTCGTGGGGCTGCGATGAAGCGGAACTCTTTAGTAAGTCACTCAAGCATGGGTTATGATAGCTGTGCTATCAGTCGACTACTTTGAAAGTAGAGGAGGCGGTGCCTGAGCTGATAACGGGGTCACAGAGGGACGTGTCTCTGGCGATAGGAAGACTGGATAGACTCGTGAGCACTCTGGGTTGGGTTGGAGGATGGGAGGTCCTTGCTCAAGGTTTTCGGGCCTGGTCGATCGCCGGCCGAGTTGGGCGCAGAAGAAGTCGTGGGAGTTTGTCCTGTCACGTGGGGTAAGGGAAGATTATTGTTATTCTTCAGAAAGGAGTGGTATAAATTTAGGTACTGGAGGGATTGCCTTTCGGTGTCTTGATTGTGAGCTGGACTCGAATTGTGTTGTCTGTCCGGACTGCTTTTATGGAGGCAATCATGAAGGACATCATGTGAAGTTGATAAGTAGAGTGTGACGGTAGGGGTGGTGGGGAGTAGGCGTTGGTGTGGTATAGGGACCGTTGGTGGATGCTGCGACTGCGGCGATGAGGCGAGCTGGAGGAAGAGCGGGTTCTGTTCAAAGCACCAGGTGGGATTCGAACCAGGGCGGGGGGGCTAGCGAACCGCCGCTCTTCCCATTTGGCTAGGGTCTCGCTAAAGAAGACGATAGTAGAGCAGCCTTCGAGGCCATGCCTCGGGAACAGCAGAAAAGAATGTAGTATATTGGGGTCAACTTCATCAGGGTTGCCTAGCTCTTCGTAAACTGAACTTTATATTCCGCTGCTGTTGCTACTAAACTTATCTAAACTATCTGATATGCTCGGAGCTCTTATGGTTCTGCCCGTTCCTCTTTAGTGAAGCGTGCGTCCCTGCAGTGCTGAGGTTCTTGATACGTCTTCTGCAGAGGAGGCCGGTCGATGTGATGGTTGTGAGGGGCATCACAGCTTGGCTGCTACGTCAAGCAAAGGTCGGTATCGCTCTCGCTGCGTTCGCAGGCATTCATGTAGGCGTCTCTGGGCTTCCGTTACTTTATCACTGAGAGGCTGTCGAGGCCGATAGAGTCCAGGGGCTCTGCTGCTAGTGAGTTCTCATGGAGTAGGTGGGGGTCTACTACCGCATGTCAGGTCTGCTGAATGATATGGTGATGGCATTCAACGAAATGGCTAAGGAGAAGTTAGTGCGTAAAGTCGGGGATGAGTTCAAGCAGGTAGTAGTAGAGAATAGTGATGGGCGTGGAAGTAGTGGTCTCAGACGAGCTCAGAGGCGGTCGAGTCGGGTGGACTGCCCCTGACGGCTTTACGGTTTGGTGATGAGGATGATGATGAGGACGATGAGGATATGGAAGGTCTTGAGGACATAGACGGGCTCGAGGACATGGACGGTAAGCGGATGATGAGCTCAGTATAGGGGGAGGGGGCTTGGCTGTTGTGAAGGGTGTGGGGAAATAGTATACACAGGGACAACCACGTGTGTTGGTGACGATGTGTTAAATCTGAGGAGATTCGGGAAAATTTTGGTTGGTTTCTGTACACTTCTGCCTTGGTTCGTATTCGAGCTCCTATGAGTAGTGAGGTCAGCTGAATAGAGGGAACACATATTCCAACGCTGGTTGTGATCTCCGGCTGTTGTGGTAGATTTCTTGGCGATGCTGCCTGAAACTGGTGACGAGCGAGTCGTTGCTGCTTTGGAGGCTGCTATGGCTGCGGGAGGAGAGCATGGCGTGGCGGGGAATGCAAACGAGAATTTGGGTTAGTGGGGAGAGCTGTGGACTGTCACGCTGATGTCCAGAGTTCAATGCTTGGCCTTGGCATATTTTACATCTTATCAGAGCACGCGCCCGACTCTGCCACCGACGATGCAGAGGAAGCCGATGGAGTTGAGGAGGAGGACGGGGAACCACTGCGGCAAGAGGTTGATGGAGATGTCCTCATGCGGACTATGGAGGACCTACTCTCACAACAGAGGGACTCATTTGCTATGAATCCATTCAAGAGAGTAAACCCCCTTTTCCTCCTCTCCAGTGGACGCTGATCTCCCTCGACAGGTCCTCCAAGCGGTTAACGACTTCATCCTGATGATGTCTCAACTCTCCCCCACCTTCAAGCTGCAATTTACTCGAGTCTTCATGCGGCACTATGACGAGATTTCTAGGTAGCACCTGCACTTGCCGGGCTCCTCCTCTGTCGCGAGGCCTGATGATGATGATCATCAGTTTTAACGTGGAGCAGTACCAAGCCATGGGGACATCCAGCTCGAGTGCTCAGAGTGCGCAAGAGGACGAGGAGGCCCCACCGGCAGACATTGCAGGGATGTCGGTCCAGCTGCTGACGATACCCGAGATATGCCTGGCTCTGATGAGGCCCCGGGGGATAGGGCCAGATAAGGGCAATTTGTTGGAGGTGAATGCAGTGGCGTTGGAGGAGTTGTGGAGTGATGCTTTGGGACCGTTTAGATTCTCTTTGATCGTCTTCACTCGCTGTTCGAGGGGATTTATAATCACCAGAATCGGACGCTGGAGTTGTCAGTGCTGATGGGTTCTGGTCCAAGAGAATTGGATATGACCATATGGCGGGTGACGCATGACATCAGCTATGTGGGTGCAGCCTTCCTCTGTGTGCGTGGCAGAGACGCTTTTTCATAGGTGCTCTACCACCCCCAGCTCTGTGAGGTGTTCCTACGCAGTCCACAGCTGCAGCGACAGCTTCTGGCCAGTGCGTCGTTGATGAGCTTTATGAACCCGCAGGAGAGGGCGTTGCTTGAACACGTTACTTATGAAAACAAGTAGGGGCATTCACGAGGTGCTTTCGATCGGATATGTGTGCTGGTCAGGGCGTGGCGGACAGCATTCAAGTTGGAGGGCGGTCTGGCGTCTACCTTGCGGAGTCTGGGCTCGTATTGCTCGAGTCCTGAGAGAAGCATAGATTCTCTCATGGGCTTTTATAAGGAGCTCGTGAGCGCTATCATGAACCGGTATAGTGAGGAAGTATCTACGCCTCTCACGAAGGGGAAGTCTTTCCACTTGCCGTTGATAAGGTCGAGGGATCCTTTGGAAGGCATCGGTGGTTTATATAGGTGTTGTGGTTAGGCTGCTTACATCGTGCGTCAACTTCGACTTGCTGCTGTCGGCCTCTCCTGAGGATATGCATAAGTGGCTGAAAGTATTCCCAGTAGAGGCCCTCCTCGTGATGATGAAGGAAACGATCGGCGTGTTAACTCTATCGGGTGAGTTTGCCGCTCCCCTGTTCTCGGTGGATGCGTTGTAGGTGAGATTCGTGATAACCTGTGGGTTCGCAATGGAGGGACGATGCAGCAGCAACGTAGCGAGTACTCTAACATGGGCCTGAAGAGCTCTGACCAAGCCTCGGTAGGCCTTCCCTCTCGGACGAGCACTGATGGCTTCTCGCAGGTCCAACTGTGTCTGGTTCTATTGGGGGAGCATTGGAAGCACGAGTCCCCTGGAAGAGTGCAGCCCTTGATAGCAGTCATGTCGGGGGTCCTTCAAGATCGGCCGGTGTCTGCGAGCGAAGCTGAGGAAATCAGATGCAGGCGAGAAAAGCGTAGCGACGAGGAGAGGTGCTCGTGTGTGCTGGTTTCGTCTCCATACCACATTTCCGTCACTTCAGCATAGAAGTACCACCTGGGATTACTGTATGGACTTGGATGAAGAGCAAGCATTTCGAAGATGCTGACTGCATGCGAACACTCTGGAGGAGGATCGTGAGGTGGGGCGCCTTATAGGTGCATTTCATCACTAAGATCCATTCAAGGTCGAGTTTGTTACCGTCCGGTGACTCCCTCAATTCGAGTGATGGACGAAGCGATCGTTGCTACGCTTCGGTGTTGCTTGAGCTTCTGCTCAGCTGCGTGACGAGTCCATACTGGGTGACGATGAAACAAGTATTCAGACATTCGCATGAGAAGAAGTAAGTTGTAAGTGTGGCTGAGTCTTGGTCCTGTAGCCGGTGTGGTAAAATATGCACATGGTCAACCACATGTGTTGGTGACAATACTGAGAAAGTTTTTGGAAATTCCCATTAGTTTCTGTACATTCCTCTCGAATTCGTATGTAAATTCCAAAGTTAGTGAGGAAATTCTTGGACTCAGCTGAGGGGAGCGAACCTATATTCCAACACTGCCAGTAGATGTTGAGATGTCAGAAACCAATGTCCCCCGGAAGGCACTGAGGAGTACGATGAGGCTGCTTACCTGGCCAGACGGGCCATCGTCCAGGTATGGAGGATGAGTTCGCTGTGGAGTGGTTGGGCGCACTGTGATGATGATTAATGCTATAGTGGAGTTGTCGAGCTCGGGAGTAGATCCTGGGACTGTTCGGTTTGGAAGTATATCAGTTAACCGCGCGGGTAAACCACCTTTAGTGTGTTTGGAGTATTAGTATTGTTGATAGCGGTGACGCTCATCATCGTCGTGGGTATTGACCACTTTTGTTCTGTTCTCTCAGGTGTTGGCATATAAGAACTTCACTTTCGGCCAGTTAGTTCTGTACCTGCCTGGTCCCTTGCGTTCTTGTGAGGCAGTGATCTCCTCGGAATTGGAGCTACTCGGTGGGCATGATGTAGATTCTGTGGTGACACGTGATATGCTTGGTGTCATGATCAGCTCAACGAGTTGGTACCAGCAATAGTGGTAGCAGTTCTAACACTAGGGAGAGGGTTCGTTCGGAAGACATCATCGGGGAGGAAGGGACTACTCCTGAGGAGAGTACGGGACGAACGATGTAGGGGGAATGAGCGCTTGGTCATGTGGTTGGAGCCAAGCAGGAGACGGTGGAGATAAACAGTGTTTTGGGAAATTATGCACATGGTCAACTATGTCTGTTGGTGACAATACGAAAATTGTGAGGAGATGCAGGGAGATTTTTGTTGGTTTTTGTACACTTCTATACTCAAATCTATAAACCTGGGAAACTAAACGCATATTTCAACAGCGGAGATGTGTATTAGATCTATTCGTAGAGGAGAGCTGTGACTCATGCGTATGTTCTGAGGGAGATTTTTCCGGTTTAAAAAGTGCCTCAAGAATTACTCTGTCGTATGCGAATCATAGAGGTCTGCTGTTCGCGGGCATCGACCAGAAGGCTTCCGGGTGGTATTAGGTACAGTTTGAAGAAGGGCAGTTGGTCCTACTACGACGCTTACTGCTCGGCCTTTGGTAACTCCAAGCAACGAGAGGCCGCTATGGAGCATGCGTTGTCCAAGGCTGAGGTGAGGCTGTCTTGCCGCTCGAGGGGTTACCAATGTTGTCAGGTGGGAATCATTGGCCCGAGTAATGAGATAGAGATCCTACCATCGATGCTTCGTAACCTAGTTGACGCCATCATCGAACCAGTAAGGCGAAGGACCGTTTGGCTGGGTCGTAACGGATTCCTCCTCTCCTTCCTGTAGTTGACCTATGCTAAGTCGACAGGGAATAGTCCACGCCCATTTGATGTCTATGAGCTCATATTTGTTCTCATCAAGGCCAGGACGTTCGAGCTCCATGTAAGTCCCCTTGACCGCAACTCGTGAAGGGTCTATGGCAGGCTACGGCCGCTGCTGGCCCGATGTCGATGTCCTCGGCTAAGCTCTCGGCACTGGACTGGACCATTGGTGTGGCCATCCGGCTGGCAGATTTCTTGGTAGGCTGTGTGATTTATAGATCGCATCGTTGCATCCTCATGTGACAGGCTCAGTCGATCCCTGCGGAGATGGTGACGGAGACAGCTGTGTTGCACGGCTATCATGGAGTTGGCGCGGTGGGAGGGTTTGAGTATTGGCCCTTTTAGTGACGAATTCACCTTCAGATTGCCACTGCGCATGACTTGCACGTAAAGCAGGAGCTGAATGGCCGCTCAGGGTTCGTTCTTGGTTATGGTCGCGGTGGGAGGTGAGCTCCTCCTTATTGTGCACCTACAGTGTGGAGCATCTGTCATCAGGATCGACGTCTATTTCAAACCGGAGGGAATCTTCCGTCTCAAAGAAGAGAATGTCCGGTATGATGACGACAAGCATGCAAATTGGTTACAGCTGATGCGCTCAGTGAGTCTCCTGGTTCTCGTATCGATTCACCAATTTTCTCGGCTCAGGCTCTACAGGAGTTGTCGGGCCTGGACGAGATACTCCCTATACTCGGGCGTACTGTGAAGTCGGTGATGAGCCGACGGGGTGCTGCTGAAACGCCACCCCCGAGGGGGACACTCGGAACGGAGTCATCGTCGTGAGGCTGTCGTGGGGGCGTTGTATGTCGGAGCGGTGATGTGTAGGTCCGGTCCGAGAACTCGTCAGCGTCGTCTGGAGAGCGCTAAAAGAAGGCAAAAACTGATCATCAAAGCCATGAGGCGGCGACAGGAGGAATTCTTGAAGTCGATGAAGCAGTTGAAGGAGTCGGACTCAGTTGGGGGCCGGGGAAGTGGTAGAGGGCTGCTCAAGCGGTTGTTCGGAAGCCAGGAGGAAGCGCGGTCAGAGTTGCCGACCAGTGCAGGTGGGCTGGTTGATAGTCATTGTGAAAAGTAGCTGTCATCATTCCAGGAAGCTTGGGAGCTGCTGTTGCTGCTCCTACGGCATCAGCGGAGTCGGACCAGGAGTGCGCCTTGTGTAGAGAGACGGACACGATAGAGAACCTACAGCGGACAGGCCCTCTCTGTGTTGTGGCCTATGTAAGGGGACGCTCTGTGGTGGGTGTCGTTATGTTATGCTCTGATTGACGATCAGTTGGGCCGAGGAAGAGTGGCTGGGCCGGGGTTGGACGGCAAGGGCATTGGAGCGTATATCAATAGCTGTGGCCATATGGTGGGTTATGTGCTCTGTTCGGCCTAACTACTGAGTTCGGCTCAGTAGTAATATTATAGGACCACGTCAGTGTAAAGGCTGCAGTGCCTGAGCTGCGTATCTCACAAGTCGGATGTGTATAGGGTAGAAAATTTTGTCGCGGCCGAACCACAGGGACTGAGGGTTTCGTCATCTAAGGACATGTATGTGTTTATGTAGCGATTGTCTTTAAACCATAACAGGCGCTTGTTATCCTATTGTGAAAGGCTGCAATATTATTTTTCCGTGAAGGTGCATTCGAAGTGTTGGAGTAAACATCGTGCAGCGATCCGTATGCGTCATGAGGGCCATCACGACTTCTTCTTCGTCGACGTGGAGAAGGGGGAGGCGCCCTGTCCTATGTGTAGGTCGCGCTCGCTCGATAAAGTCCTTATTTGCTGCCTTCAGGTCGTTCTCTAGCGAACCTCTGCCTGCCCTATACCAAGCTCAGCGTCCTGACGAGCGCAGGGGATAAGTGGTGGACTCCTTGGGACCGAGATTCGATCGGTCCAGATAGGGTGGCGCGCGCCATGGCTACGTGTGAAATGAACAATCTTGTGAAAGCGTAGGAAGTGTTTTTTGTGATGAGTGTTTGAGGGCATTGTCATTCAGGGTATGGGAGTCTCGAGATCGGTCCGATGTAGGAGAAACCAACAGTGGTGAGAAGAAGACGAGGGCGGGCATGCTCTTGAGCGTTGCGTAAGTACTCGATCACTCCTGTATTTAGGCATCATAGCAGTGTGGGGATATATGTCCGGTTTTCTCGGTATATGTCTTTTTATTCAGGTACAGCCATTTATTGGGAATTATGGCCACTTTGCCGTCAGTGTTGGTGGAATGTGCATGTAAGTCTCTTTTCTCGTTTTTACAGTCTCCGGTACTCTTGCATTTTTCGGGGGGATCTGCCTTGTTGTTATCGTGCTAACTCAGGCACGGAGCCTCAACATCAAGTGCCAACTTTTGCGATACTACTGCGCGCACTGGCTGCTGAGCTCATGACGGGCGATAGCGACTTGAAAGGAGACAACCGAGGGATGGATGTGAGTTGTTGTTACGCTGATCATGCACTTGTTGACTATACTATAGATCCTCGCACGTATTGTGGGTCGACGAATGACGCAGACCAAGTTGTCGGAGGAGCTAGGGCAAATATGGCGAGAGCAGAAGCAGGATGGGCACGATGATGGTGAGCACCTATCGATAACGGCTAAGTCGACTGGACTTCCTTAGAATCGGCCATGGAGCGCTTGACGGAGGTCGGCATGATGGCATGCTGGGCTGTGGCATCCCTGAATAGTCTTGACGAAGCTGACCTCAATCGACTGCAGTTTGCAGGTTAGCTGCCTCATCGTGGTGTATGGAGGTATGGAGTTGTTGTTGTACTTACTTAGGCTTGGGCGATCCGAAGGAAGCGTGGTATACAATATGCAGCGTTCTGGAGATAGCAGACCCTCTCTACGGCATGCATGTGGATTTGAGCAGCCTTCGATCGGTGTCGACTAGGCCACGACCAATGTTCAGCTCGGAGATGGTTACGTTCATTGATCTCCCTATCGGTAGGTCCCTGAGCATTGTCGGTCCACCACCTGGATGAGGGATCTCAGATATGTTGGAGCTTGTCCGTGAAACCCTCTCACGTGAATGCGGCAATTGTCACTCTAAACCCCTGGATCCAGTGGTATGTCTACTATGTGGAGATGTAAGTGGTTTCGTGGACTCTCGAATTTGAAGTGTGTATTATGCCTCAGGTTTTGTGTCTGGACGGCGAGTGTTGCCGAACGCCTGGACAGACCGAAGGAGAGTGCACTCGGCATGCTCGAGCCTGTGGAGGTGGCCAGGGCCTTTTCATAATGCCCTATGCCTCAGTGGTACGTAACAGTAGGAGGCGAGAAGGCTCTGTGATGATTAACTCGCCGGCTATTGTTGAGCTTGGTCGTATTGTGTTGTGCAGATCCTTGCGGTAGCTGCTCCGAGGAACTGCATCTGGGATGGCCCGTATGAAGACTCTCATGGTGAAACTGACAGTTATTTGCGTCGGAATATGACGGATTTGAAACTATCCAAAAGACGATATGACCAACTCAAGTCTGCGTAAGAATCTTTATTGTCCATCCGGGCTCAGACGGTCGCCTTGTTTTAGTTTTATCCGCGGCACCATTGATAGCGATATTATAAAGAACAACGAGAAGACTGGCCGGTTCGTACCAAGAGCTCTCTAATATCTCTTCCTACTGTTCAGCTTACTTATCGTTATACAGTTGCTACAGTATTGTTACTCGTTTCGTATTATCATTATGATCAAGTCTTGTTCCAGTTTGCTATATCAACGCAGTGGTTATTGGCGATAGGGCTTACGGTTAATATATGTCTCACACGATATTTACTAGACACCCCGTAGAGATGTTGCACTGTTGCTTGCTGGTCCCAGAATTCACATCATGTTCATCATTGCTTTCATCAGCCTGTCTGCGCAACCTATGCGGTAGAGCTGGACATGCAGAAGTGTTTTTCATGCAGGTGTCATTTACATCCACATTGCCATTGGCCGAGCCTTATGGGATGTCTGTATGCTTCCTAACGTAGAGGTCTTATGATCATGTCGGTAGTCATGTGCATATAGAGAATTATTCCTGTTACAGTGAGAGCTGTAACAGCTCTCACTGTAACAGGAATAACTCTCTCACTGTAACAGCTCAGCTGTTACTAGTAGTGCGACGCGTTTGAGGAGTACCTTTTCTGTACGAGACTATCTACACCGTCTCCTCCTTTGCTTAGTCGGAGTCGAAAAATTATGTCGCGCGCCACGAAATTATCTGGTCTAGCGCAAGTCTAATTGTGTGTGAAGGTGTCATCGATCGGGTCGATGTCCACCAAGAAGGATGGTCTGTCGGTTGTGTTGATCCGCTGAGGCATGCGAAAGCAGTAGGAGTTCATAATGACTATACTCGTGTGGTTAGTGGCAGTGTTTGATCTCAACAATTGCCGGCGCTACTCGCTGCACTACGCGTTCCACTGCTCAACTCTTCTACACCCAAGCTCAACAGAAGGAACAACAACAACACGCATAATACTGTAAGGCGGCAAGACAGCCATACTAGTCTAAAGTCATCATCTTGGCAGGATAGGAGGAAACCGAGACCAGCAGAAAGAACTTTGTTAAGCGGGAGTAGTCCAGCAGGGGTTGTCGCCACCTCTAGGGTGTACTCAAGTCGGAATAGTAGCAGCTACACTAGTGTCACCAGCAGCTCGTTGAATAGTAGCGCATTCAACTCACTAGCAACAGTAGAGGAGTCCAAAGAGAACAGCATGCCTACTGTAACTACTACCGACCGCGTACAGGCTAGTAGCTCTGCAGGTGAGTATTGGTGGGATCTTCCGATTTCTAGTTAGTATTAGTTTCGATATCGTCACCGATCGGACGAGAATCGACATGTGCTGGTGGTGTTGATGGTATCACAACACCGCCTACTGATACTAGCAATGGAAATCCAGCCGGCGGAACTGGGAGGCTCAAGGTTTATCGAAGTAGTGCTCGGCGGCGGGCTTTGGTGGTACAGTACACCCAGTACAGGGGTAAACGTGCTTACACGGCACTTGGGTTTGGGGTTATAGCAATTGATAGCTTCGAAAGTGTATACCATGTTTAGTACTTACTGCACTGTGGCTGAGTGCATGGTATAGCACCCGAGGGACCTCCGGGAGTCGTACCTCTGATAGCCACACGATGCATTAGTTATGGGCGTACTGATCTTTGGAATACGAACTGTACGATAACTATCGTCTGCAATGGGGACTGTAATGACTGTGCGTAACGCATCGTTGGATATAGAACAGTGCTGGTTCTGACTCAGAAACGGAAAGTGGTGGAGGAACGAACGCGATGTCGCGAAGTTTTACGGCACTTTATCATCGAAAGTAAGTTACCTAAGAGGTAGTCGGCATTCTCGTGATGCTAGTGATATTTTTAGTGCACCATTGAACGAGCTAGCGCTGATGAAATCATTTTTTGCCATGGAGAATCGACGCCTTCAAAGGGTAGTATCTGGAGTCACGCATGAAGTCTGGCACGATAGATTCACATGGGCCATAGAGGGAACGTGTATGCACACTGTCTAGAAATCCCGAGAGTGGGAAATCTTTGAGAAAATTTGTATCCGTTTCCGCGTATCGTGAGGCTGACGTTGCTTCTGTTGAAGTGTAGATTGCTGAGTTACTCCTTCGTTGGTCAGGTTCTTGGTGGTCGAGCAAGAGCCCGTGGTAGTGGGGGTAAAGCCTTGAAGGTTACTGTGGTGTTTTTGGTCATACTGTTTATACTAACGCAGTTGGCGTTCATGTCGAGTACCAGTGATGAGAAAGATGTAATGTGATGATTTTTGGAATTCTCCACGATTTTCTGATGGCTTTTCACGTTGTTTGGTGACACTGGATTGGCAGTATATGATGTCGCTGTTGTCAGGCTACGGACCTTATACATTCCTCATGGGTACTCGCCATCCTTATAATCGCTACTACAGTGGTATGCGGGGTCACTGTATACTCCTGTTATCAGACCCCTGAGCACGTAACGGGAAAGTTGGCCTTGGCTGTGTTGTATTTAGCGATGATGTGGTAATGAAGGTTCTGTTGCTATTTGGCTTGAGGGTGGCTTGAATAGGTACCTTTGGGTGTTCGACTATCAGGCAAGGCGACCGAGTTTATTCTCTGATTTAACCTCAGGAGAGACGACAGTGATTGGTGAGTGCTTCGCTCCGCTAGAGATTGTGATTTTGTTTGACTTAGGTTGGTTTTTGGCCCTGGAGTTCATCATCTTTGTGGCGTACGTTATCACTCATTGGTTCTACCCGTTTATAGTACGACTGACGACGGTCTGGTGGGAGGAGGTGGTAACTGATCTCAGGTGTCCAAACTGGAGTTGTGGCCTACGGGGGCGAAGCTCTGGTTCCGATTCCGGCAAGTTGAGTCGCCACATAGAGATTCTGTGAAGTTTTCCTACCGCCCCAGTGGAATATTCGGTCGGCGATATATCTTCACTTATAGCGGCACTGTCGATAGGTTGGTGGATAATTTCGTGGCGCGCGGTAATTTTATTTCATCTTAGGGATGGATATCCGCATGGGTATGGGGTGTGGTCCGACGATTCGTACCATGGAGAATGCCTCCTGGGTCGATGGCGACACGGAGTGCCTGTCGGACCGTTCACATCCCGAGAACGAGGTGAGATTTCCAGTGGTGACAGGCTACTCTCTCTCCTTCTTGTTTTAACCCTAAGCGATACTAGTGTGTGAATCCGCATATCTGAAGTTCTTATGGAGCTCTAAGTACTACAACGTAGATGTTTGAAGTAGTTTAGAACTCTATATTCGCCTATCTGAGGTTCGTACAGGGCTCAAAGTACTATACCGTAAATACTTGAAGTAGTTCAGAACGCTATATTTGCCTATCTGAGGTTCGTGCAGAGCTCAAAGTACTATACCGTAAATACTTGAAGTAGTTCAGAACGCTATATTTGCCTATTTGAGGTTAGTACAGGGCTCAAAGTACTGTACCGTAAATACTTGAAGTAGTTCAGAACGCTATATTCGCCTATCTGAGGTTCGTACATGGCTCAAAGTATTATACCGTAAATCCTTGAAGTAGTCTAGAACTCCATATTGGCCTATCTGAGGTTCGTACAGGACTCAAAGTACTATACCGTAAATACTTGAAGTAGTCCGCAACTTCTCGATGCCGTACTTTAGTAGTCCTTATAATCCCGGAGGCTGGATTTCCCTGCATTGTAGGTAGTGGTGCGATGTCCTCGTCGCAACATATAGCCTATTGTACTTCTCGCCTGGAAGCCTTGGACCAGAAGTACTGTATACCAGTGAGGTCTAGTCAAGGCTTGCGGTAATAACAATGTGGAAGTGTCATCAACTTATCGGTGTTGAGAGTGCCAGCGTTGTAAACACAGATCTCATTTTGGCGCACTTGAAATATGTGAATCAGAGATGCCAGCCGAAATGGGGGGGCCTATATTTGATGATCATTTGTGGTCATCACGTTCTTGAGATGTCCATCGAAACGAAAAATTGTAAGATTTATGGTATGATCGTTCATGGATGAGCAAGGTGTTAGTGGATAATACGCAACACTATTTTGCAGCGCATTTCGTTAGACTTGGACAGAAACATGATGTTCCGACAGTTACGGAGTATGTGGCGTCGAAGCCTCGACTGGTGGTGGCTTTTTTGAGCATCTTCCTACTATAGGAGAGCACATACTTTTCGAGAGCCTCTCAGGGGTAGGAGCTCATCACATTGCTTGATGGGATGGCCTTGCCTTAGGCAATCGCGGAAGTCCGGGCATCTAAAGCACCCGCCAAGATAATGGCTTCTGATGATGGTAAGTAGACGGTTGGCAATGGTTGGTCGCTTACCGGTTGGGTCAGACCAAGGGAGTTTCGATGATGATGACGCCAGTAGTACTGCTCATCGAGAGTATGCGGCCCAAGCCCAGGACGAGCTCAATATGGATCTGGAGTTCACAATAGGTAGCACTAGTGTTCTTCCGAGTCATCAGCCCCCTCCATGGCTCCATTAGATGTAGTTGGTTACGGTAGGATGAATATTCATGTTGGTGTCGTGACTACTGCTAGTAGTGAGAATTGCGAGGAAACCATTACTAGTATCATATTTGTCGGGCATTGGCAATTTACTATTGTTCACAGAGATAAAAGCACCAGTGCTGCAAAATAAATTATGTACTCGCTGTCCTCGGCTGAGCTCAATAGTTTCCTCACTAATCATAGGAGTTTATATACGAATCGAGAGAAAAATGCGAAAAGTGGACAGAAACTAACAGAAATTCTCCAAAATCTCCCCAGAGGTCAGATATTGTCACCAACACTTGTGGTTGATCATGTGCAAATTTTACCACACTGAAAAGCACAGGGATACTTCCAGAAAAAGGGCTTTGGCAAAAGCTCGTTTTAGTGCCTTGTTGATATCAGAATTCTATTTGTGCATTGCGATTTATTCTCGTCGTATTCAGTGAACGATGATGAGCTGGGCGTGCTGACGGAGGATCCTCGAATGAATAATGGCGTTAGCGAGACCTGTGCTAAAGGAACTATTGAGTATCATGCGCTTGGTAACAGGATCTATTTACGTAAGGAGGATTACATGAAGATCCCGTAATCCAACTACCCGGGTTCGACCCCGGCACGTGTCGTTTTTCTCAGGGCTCAACTTACCGAGGATCGTGGTGAAGCGTTGATCTTCTTGCATGGTTACAACTGCAGTACTGAGTTCGCCCTGTGTAAGCTTGGACAACTCATAGCTCTGGGGAGGATACCGAGGTGAGATTGACATACCACTCGTCCTTGTCATCCTATCTGTTCGGTAGGAGCATCTTACCGATAGTGTTCTCACAGTCGACTGGACAAGCTCTTATGTACTTCCAGTCTAAGGATGCCGTAAGGTCTCATATGACGACCGCATCTCTACAGTGGTGGTAGGTACCACTGTTTGGTGAGGACTGCGCAAAGTTAATACGGCGACTAGGAGAGTGTGGTATCACCAGGATCCATGTGAGAGTTCTTACAGGCGTATAGTACGTAGCCTTATACTTACCGTTGTTGTTGTTTTTAGATTCTCACTCACTCCATGGGGGCGAGGCTTTGGTTTAGCGCCTTCCACGATTTGATCAGAGACGGCTATCTCGATGAGGTAGTCGATCAGTCAGCAGCAATCCGTCAGTATTGGCTACTCTCAGACTTTCCGTCGCTCCTCGTCGCCGTTCATCCCCTTGGAGCCTCAGATAGAAGCCCCTAGGCCGCTGGAAATGGCTGGTGATGACCTCGCAAGCATGGAAGGAGGAGAACGGCGATTGCTGAACATTCGCAATGTTTGCCTGATGAACCCAGACTACGATCTCGAGGACTTCAAGACCATCGACGTGCCACTGCTCGAGAAGTGCGGTTTTGGTTCTGCCATGGAGTTGAGGTTCTTCGATGTAGATATGTCGCGAGAACTACCGTCTATGCTGATAGAAATGATGGCGCATTGTTCTGGGCTGAGAACTTCAACCGGGCTAAGGCCCTGGGTCGGCACACCGACGATGTTCGAGTGAGTCAACCTCGAGTTCGCCGGTGGCATTGGTCGAAGTTAGATGCCGACGATCCCGGGTGGCGAGTCGAGTAGACTCCTCAGCGAGGAGGCAGCGCCTAGCGGTGTCTCTCAGCCTTTCTCGAGTATTTCTCGTCAAGCTGAGGCAGGTGTGGTATGGTATTGATCAGGTGCGGCTACGACAAGTCGGGGGACCAAGAAGCGTGGTCCTCTTTGTGAGCGAATCGATGTCATTGACTGTACTGATATGGACCAGAACGTAAGTGTGGGGTCATGCAGAGAGGCGCCCTTTGATGATGATTCTTCGTAGGTACACTCCCTGCGACATAGTTACTTCAACTTGAATATGCAAATTGTTGGTGATATAACCGACATAATACGTTCAGAGCTACCAGCCCGACTTCGCAGTCGCAGCCTGGTAGTCGGCAGTACTCTCCGCTGCCAATGCTGTGATAGTCGTCGTGTTCAGGTTCGCCGAAGCCCTGGTTCGAACGTTTATTCATTCCTATCGCCTCCGTCCTTCCTAAACGCCGACCGAGGATTCTAATTGATTGCCGCTTTACCCTGTGCTATGTTGTACTCCTTTTCATCTGTCCTATCTCACTGTAGTCAATATCGCGTTAAATTTGATCGTCATTCTGTAGTCCGCTGAGGGTTGGAGTTGCTCGACCGAAGCCTTGGCGAGATTTCCATCACTCTTCTTGTCGTGTTCCAGTTTCACCATCATTGTCCCTCCAGTAGTACTAACATTTTTATCTGTGCAGTATGGGAGCATCCCCGTCCACACCTGCGATGTTGTCTACTGGGCCTCAGTCCAATCTCTCCATACCGTCTGATGTGCTACCGTCCTCGGACAATAACGACATTCTAGCCCCCTATAGGGCTCTACCCATGGACCTGGCCTCCATCGATAAGGCTTTCGATAGACATCAGATCGCACTTAATGAGCTGAAACGAAGTGTGTGGAAGTTTCTCGGTTACCGAAGACCACGGCGCCTGGCACTAGCTCAGCGAATCGAGACGGGTCTGACCATCCTAGGGGGTATGACGATGAACAAGGACGAGTTGGTGATGCTTCATCGAGTCTCGGCTGAGGTGGGCGGCGAGGAGGAGGGGAGCCACTGTCAGATAGCGACGATCGACTGCACTAAAACGCCTCTGCAAATCTCACCGGTATATACCAAAGACGATACTGATCTTGAAGATATCAGTACTGACTCTAAAGGGCGTATTTACTTCCTTAGCAAAGACCATATTTATCGTCTGAATGGTGAACATGAACCGGTGGAAATAGTGACAAATGTTGCGGATTTGGTGCCCGCCTACAGTCTGGACTACATCGAGTGCTACGACGGATACATCTATGTCTATGAACACGTGGAGCAACTGCTATTAAGAGTGCCTGAGGAAGGGGGTGCTTGTGAGAAGGTCTTCGACTTCGACGATGCGTGGAAAATCAGCGCGTTCGACGTCCGAGTTCGCAACGGAGGAGCAGAGATGCTCAGCTGTAGCAATGATAGCAACACTTGTATACAGTGGAGACGAGCGAAAGAAGATTCTCCTCGGGCCATACAAGTGGCTTGTGCGACTCGGTGTCGCTTTCTAGACCACCCTAAAGGAGATCTGGCCGTTGTTGGTTGTTGCCGGCCTTGCTCTATACAGATCATCGACCTCGTTGAGAACACTCAGCTGTGTTCCGTTCAGTTGCCAGATGCTCGCAGTGTGTGCTCAGTGCTGGCTAATACCAGTGCTAGCGAGATTTACGTCACTGAATGGCGAGTGAATCACACTTATATGACTCAGTTTTTTATACACTATTATGATGGAGATTCTGAAGAGGTTTCTCCTGAGCTTGTCGAAAGTCCTTGTCAAGTTGACGACTAACGGTCGCTGTTCTCGAACTTATAAAATTCTGACATCCCTTGCGAGTTTTCACCTCAGTTTCGGTCCTACTTGTTGCGTTCCTCCGCTAGGGCTGAGCCCCATTTGGAAGTGCGTTTTTAATGTCGGCAATATCGGCTCCATCGATACCTCAACAACTTGGTGTGCTTAGTCGGTATCTAGGTCGTCTCGCGTCTACCGACCCCGATCAAGTATGGGAGGCTTCTAGGAAGGTCCGTGAAGTTTTGAAAGGCGAGATGGTCCCACTGCCCGAGCAGGAGGAGGATGAGGAGGTCGCGACGGTTGATGTCTGCGAAGGTGGGAGTTTCTCATACCGCTCCTCGAGAAGATCACCATCGTTTCAGGCCGACCAGAAGACAGTGTGAAAGCTCTGAGTGCTATCACTGCCACCTTTAAGGCCACAAACATGACCGATGCCGATACGTGGACTTCCTTGTTGAAGCATCTCGGAGTTTCCACCTCCTCAACTGAACCTAACCAATGGTATTCGTCTCCTTCGACCAATCGCCCAATTACCGCCGTCCCTGTTCAGGACCCCAGAGCTCCTCTCGGGGTCCATAAGCATCCAGAAGAATGCTCTCCAAGGTGGCTTCCTCGATACACAGCTCCTCGCTGCGACCGTTGATACCATGGCCGCGCTGCCTCCGGAGGATGTCTCCGTCTGCGATCTGAATACGATGGTCTCGATTCTTTCTAAAGTCGGTGTTGCTGAACCCGACATTTTGTATAAACTACGACATTTGTGGCTGGGGAAGCTGTCCGATATGGATTTAGGTAGCGTTAGAGTCACCGATCAAATCTGACGGTATACGATTGATCTCAGGAGCAATTGTCTCTATATTGGACCTACTCGGACATGCTAAGGTGCCCGACCATGAAATTTTCCTCACAGCCAGCGAGGTAAGATACTTCCATACTCGATGCCGTTGAATATTCATCTCAGGTGCTCCAGCTGTCCGCGGACGTCTTCACCTTGCCCCAGTGTATATCTCTCCTTCGTAGTTGTGCTCGCTGTGGGGAGTTCCACGTGAGAGAACCAGCATGTTACGGCTCCGACGAGACTGCTGATGTTTCAGGTCCGCCTTTTCCACTGCATATTCGCCAGAATCGTCACCCTCCTGCCCACGGCTAGTAATTACTGTCAGCTCATTGAACGCCATTCATGGGCTTTTAGATATCTCTGTGCATGCGTGCGGCGCCATCTTGGACTCAATGGCTTCCTTGAGAGCACGAGATGACCGAGTTGTGCTAGCCACGGTAGCCCTCATCGCCGACAGCTTATCGAACTACTACAGCTCCTCTCAGGCACTCAAGCTGAATCAACTCCTGGAAACGAGTCATGATAGCGGTCCCGATACCACTCGATCTCCACTTCTCGATTTACAGTAGCCTCATCGCTGCTCTATTTCAACAGTTCTATGGTCTGGTTGATAGTCATTTATACAGGCACGTCTCCTCTTGCCTCCGAGCCCTCTCAAAGCTCGGTTTCGTACAGCCATCGACTTTGGAGAACCTCATGGCCACCTGCCGCCGCTGTCTGTCTTCCAATACGCTCACATTGGATCTCGGCATAGTCGGCTTACTATCCCACAGGTGAGGCTTCCGTCCAACTTGGGCCATTTTCGATGCTTCCTTGCTGCAGTATTAACAGACTCGGGCTGTACGATCCTGTCGTGACCTGGCATCTTCACAATGCAGTACGGCGCTCTTTGGATGACCCCGACGTTGAAAAGCAAACAGATGTGAGTCTTCCAATAAGACTGTTCGGAAGGTTCTTCCAAGTAGGCCCGGTTGGTCGCGGCACTCTCCGCATGCTATAACTGCATCGGACCCCTTCCCGAGGAGATCGAGCAAGATTTCCAGTTGACTGCAGTTAGAATAGTTAATTTAATGCTGCAGAGGCACAGAGAAAAGGGCACCGAGATGAAATCTCGGACAAGGTAAGTACGTGAGTTCAGCGGCTTCCCATCGTCGTTGTCAGAGTGAGCATCCACACTGCATTACTCGCTATCATCCCTCACGATCCCTCCAGAGTCGCACCAGAGGCCGCCGAACTCGACCCGAGGGCAATAGTGTAAGAGGAGCCACTGGCAGCAGCGATGCAGTGTGGCCCTCAGGACCTCTGCCGTCGAGGAGTCTAGTTCTGGTCTGATGAAGGAGGTTCTGCAAGCAGTCAAGGGTCTACGAGATGGACTCTCCGTACAAGAGGAGGTGAATTCGCCTCAAAGTTGAAAGTCTTCCCACCGTGGTGAATCAATCCTATCCAGATACATGCTCCACCGTTCAGTATTGACCTCGTGCTGCGAGGGGACATCGATTTGGTACCATCCCTCCTCTTATATGTATTTCTTTTTAATGACTTCCGCTTCAGGACCCCAACTGACTATCCTTGAAGCGCTACTTGTCGGATATTGCAACGAATTCATGTTTCGGAATGATGTATGCATATTCACCCTCGGTTTCTGGCCTTCCATTCTTGTTATGTGGCGACAGTATCAACGCGCAAATTTCTTTGGCAAGGACAGTCGCTATGCCCGCAGATAGGGAAATCACATACATGAGCAAGCACATCGATTTGGCGATTTGTTTCACGTAAGCGAATAAGATAATGTAGCCACGCGATTCGAATCAATTCCGCGGATAAAGAGATCCTCAGTTGCTGCCCGAGCGCATTGCGCCCGATCTTCATGCTGTGTCTGTCCATCAGGGACGTCTACGAGCTCTTCAAAGTCCACCACGTTTTAACGTCTTTGCCCCTACCATCGATTTAAACTCGTCGATAGGGTTGCGGAAAAGCGAGTAGGGCTCAAGTTAGAGAACTTGTGGGCAGGAACGGATAGGATAGAGGGGCTGCCCTTCAGAAAGAGCTAGTGGGATGGCATAGTGGAAAGCTGCATCATCGAAACTGCTACTCCAAATTTTCGTCACTATATGTGATTTCCTTATTCACTGAATCGGTGGCCTTAACCGCGAAAATAATTACTGGAAAATGGGCTCATCCACAGACCCCACAACTATCGCCATCATGAGAACCATAAACCTCCCAACCCTGCTGGACGCCCCCCTCCCTTGCATTGAAGACGACCCAACACACAATTATGCATAATCAAACTGAGTGGTAAGTGTTTTCGAAAGGAAGAGACAATTAATCAACTTAGTAGGAGATGAGTATACAATATCGTTGGAAGTCTTTATTCCTTCTTATCGCCCTTCCTGCTCTCCTTTTGTCGCAGACCAGCCTTCTCCAGTTCCTTTTGAGTTAGCAGTACAAGCTCATCATCTAAGTCGGGATTGTAGCCAGCACGGAACATCACCTACAACAACGATCGCTCCCCCCTCCCCTACACTGATAGAGACCTACCTGTAGCCATACGAAGAAGACGGCAGCGTGTATGGATTGGAAAAAGTTGTCAACAAGTGCGGGTCTGCGACGCTCTAGGAAACCATGACCGATGAATTGCAGTATCCAGGCCGTAGTGAAGAGAGCCCACGCTTGTGGAGTGTATCTTAGCGGTACGAAGGCAGAGAATAAGTACCTATGAAGAATAAGTATCGTCAGCTCTAAATCGATCGAGATAGGAGCTCACATGACCATCATTATGGGGGTATAAAGCAGCGCTGCTGGTAGATCCATGTAAAGGAAACTCAACACATAGAAGGCATGGACGAGGGTGGCCAGAGTGATTTTCCCATAGAGTGCTGGAGTATAACTTCTTAACAAGAATAAGGATGTCGAGTATATGAGGGGAACACATACCTGACAAGAATTGGGTATCATTGAAAAGGAGCACTGTAGAGAGACAGACCATGTGGATGGCCTTATTCCACTTATTAGTGTGATAGGCTGCATAGAAGGGGTAGTTCTTTTTAATGTCAAAGTAGGAGGACATTGTCAAGACGGAAAGAAGAAAGTCTGTCTATTTCACAACATCACCGTGGAGTAGCCGATTACGCTCCGCGCACGCCAATCTAATCGATTTTTCCTCGTGGCCCGTCGTGATGTAAGCTCTTGAGTTCAAGGTGCACCCCAAAGCCCCTTTTTGGTGGACGAAGCCCCAGTGTTAAGTGTAGCTCGACCTCTCTAACGGTCGGCGCTCGGACCCTCGGATGTATCGACGTGCTCTTACGATTAAGCCTTCTTTAGCTACTCGATTGACTGAATCGCGAAGGAGCACACAGGAACATCCAGTTCTGTGCGGCATGTTGAAAATCATAATATCGTTACGCGAAATCCAAAGATCTTAATCTATGCGTAACTGCTCCTACTACAGGAGGTAAGCGACAATAAGATTGCTATTAAACAAGTGGTAAGTGTTCACCGACCAAGACATGATCGAACTCACGGGAGAAGATAAGACTATCAATTGACAATAGTTCAAAGCCAAAGAGTTTACGAGAACTATATAAATATTCGATCTCCAGCGATAATGTGCCGACACTAGAGCCTGAATGCTGTCTTATATCGAATCTTTATTGGTCCTTCTTCTCCTCTGCAGCTACTAAGCAGTCTATTTCCCTGTGTAAATGCTGCTTATAGCCGAATTGGAATATCAACTGAAATAACAACCAATACCTCCACTAACCTACCATGTTATGACTTACATCTAGCCAAACGAAGAACAATGCGCCGTGGAAGCCTTGAACGAGGAATGGTCCGAATGGTGGAGTCTTACGCTCGAGGTATGCATGAGATAGTAATAGTGCTACCCAACAGCAGACCAACACACCAGCCACCAACATCCACTCCTCTCCATGGAGCATATAAACTGCTACATAGTACCTGAGTGATGACCAAGTGGCGCCAAATTCCCCTCGGATAAACGCTTTCCATGCTGAGCATGGAGACACAGACTTACAGGCGTACTAATTTTCGGCAAAATTCAAGGCAGAGCGTATGTGTTCCTGATAGTCACAGAATCGGCATTCACTACAATGCCACCACCAGGCTTCGAACCGAAGACCATTGAAATATTATCCGATCAGCTAACCAGTCAACCAGTCCTCCCATAATATTACATCAGCCCCATAAATGGCATGAATAAAATACCAGCGGGGATCTCGATGAAGAGGTAACTTATCATGTAAACCATATTCATCACGACAGCGAAATTAACAGACCCATTGCCACCCAATGCTGGTAGGAAGTGGTTGGCAAAAAATAATAGACAAATATAGTGGACCGGCTCAACAATCTGAATACGAAACAAACAGTACTAGCCAACAACCATGAGGAACAACTACTCACCAAATGAACGATCCTGTTCAGTGGAGTCCTATGGTACTTAGCGAAGGCGACGAAGTCCTTACGGACATCGAAGTAGTCATTTATTGATTGCATGTCTTTAAGAGGAAACTGCAATCAACACAACGGAAAGGGACACGTTCACATCCTCCGACTGAGGCTATTGTTAGCGTTGCCTGCGAGCTGATCGTTCCGAGTTATCCTTCAGATCAATAAAGAACAAGTCGTGATATAGTTCAGCACCACAATGGGAACTTAACACAAAGCTTATATAATCAACACCACTGAACAGTGACAATACATGAGGACATACACAGAAGGATCACCGAGACATAGTGCGACTCAGCCGAGCACCTGATAGTAGCGAAAGAAGGTTGATGTCGGCCAACAATGCCTCGCAATCAAAGGCATCAATGCTTACTCAAAGGTACAGTGGACTTCTTAGACTCCGTCTTACAAATTGGCAGCTCTCCTTTTCCAGCAGTATCACCGTCAAGTTGTATGGGCCCACCAATTGACTGCAGAGCTCGAATAACTTGCCTTTTTTTCCGCACCGTGGACACCAGCGGAGCTTTCCGATGATGCTCCCGCATGCCACTTTCCTCACCAAATTTACGAAACTTCAGTGTGTAAACGGCGGACGGGTTGACCTCGCAATTGGTTTGAGGGTAGCAAGTTCCATCCAGTCCTCTGAATGCATGTGCGTGTACTCCTTGAGCTAACTTCGCAGCCTCCCGTTTGGCCACGTGGCTCCAGTCACCCCATCCACGTCTCACTCGAGCCCCAAATACCAGGCCTTGCTGCTCGTAAGGATGATGAACAGGGGATGACTCCACACCAGACGGATATAGAGATGCGATGGAGGTCTCATGGAAACTGGAACGGATCACATCGGTCACGAAGTTACCTACAACTTACTTCTGCGAACTGCGGAAGCCTCGACCGTTGTTGACCGGCAGAAATATCGAACAAGGCCTTCCTTGTCTATCCCGGGCTCCAAGTGGATACCCGAAGGCCTCGAGGAAGCATGAATCCGCTCCGAGCATTCCACTACTGCTAGTTCGACTAACAACAGCACACATCGGCGTGAGAATTCAGAAGAGACCCACTCGCTGCCTAGGAGCTTCAACTTGTGTATCTGGTCGTGTCTATGGACTGCATGAGCCGAGTGAGCGGCTGTTCTCCGCACAGTGTGTTGACCCCAAGCGGTGATGTTGGAGTCCAGGTTCCATCGGTCCCCTGGGGCCTGCCATGAACAGCACGTCGGTCGAGGTTGGACTCCCTCCCGCTAGGCAAGATCTGGTCCGATATCCTACCTGTTTGACGGGATTGTTGGAAGATAGGTCATTCATAAGACCTCCGGAGGAAGCATAATCGGTTGTGAGACCGAATGATGCTGACAGTGTACCACATCCCTTCGACATCGGGAAAAGGAAGGGTTGACTGGAAAAACTGGAAAAATCTCGCACGCCTACACAGCGCAAGATACTTAGCGCTCGCCAGAAGAAATAAAATGAGTGAGTCATGACATTGGATTATATCATGATAATCCATGATACCACCACACCTGAGGCAATCCGACGGGGCGGCTATGCCACAGCCGCGTGATACGCCTTAGTATGATCGACTTCTCCGGGTGGGGCGACCATGCCACAACCCCAAGATATGCCCTCGTGCGGTCGATTCCTCCGGGAGGGGCAGCTATGCCACTACTCTAGAGATACGTTCTAGTACAATAAATTCGGTCAGAGGCAGCTCTAATTTCGGCGAGTCGCGGAAATACTTGCGCGCTATTAGGATCGATTCCGCCGAGTGGAATCCGGTCGAGGGCAGGTCTTTATAGAGACACTTGCAGTCCACACGGAGCATTCACACCTGGTTATAGGCTGTAACCAGCTATAACATTATAGCTCATGGGAATCAGCTAATACTAGGATCATTCGGCTGCCGAGTGTTGAAGTGTGTGGCTAACGGGATGGATGTTCTACACGGTGCGAAGTTATGCATCACGCTGAATAGTATTTCCACTCAAACTCACGAACTCAGTATAGGCATACAGTACTCTTCACACCACACCGGTTAATGGGGTGTCTACATCCATCGTATATATCCTATCGAGCGAACATAAGAGGCGACAACAGTGAAGTCCGACAGGCAGTAGCGCATGCTGTTAGACAGGGGAGTATACAATCATCAGGCCTAGGTGACAGAACGCCCCAGGCTTCCACCCATATTTCAAACTTACACACCACGGATTTCCGGAGGAAAATGGTCGTCCCTTAGTTACTAGAATGGAACTCAAAATAGCTTGCAGTGGATTACAAAAACGGTCGTACTGTCGCGTGAAGGTCTACCAAAAAGCTGGAGCAGAGAAATATAGGCTCGTGGGTGAGAAGTATTGGCGGTTCATCTGAAAAGATGGTTACTCTTAGGAAAAACAGAGATTGTCCCTGATACGCAGAACCCCACCTTCGCTCAAGGCATCTTCCTCGACTTTCTCTTCGAAGTGCAGCAAAAAGTTCGCTTTGAAGTGTATGCTTTGTATGCTTTCTCATTGGTGACTGAATTCCGAAAGATACCACGTGTCTCCAGAAACCGGTACATCGAATGAAAGTGACTTTCTCGGGCTTACTGAAATGTACCTCGCTGAGATAGTAACCAGCTCAAGGGGAGTGGTCACACGAGATATGGAACACCCTACAAAATCAACCACAAATGGTAGTCAATTTGTCAAGCATGTGACCAACATGGGAGAATCAGGCAAGATAAGTATCATCGCTGAGGAAGTCCAGGCGTCAAAACGGACTGTGAAATTCTGTATGCGATGGTGAGTCCAAGAAGTCCAAGGAGTCCACGAACTGAGAGTCTCATTGTTCAGTACTGGCTTACGAAGTCGAGGATACTTCTTGAAGTCCTGCTATTACATAGTGGTCTCACGCACAATGCCGACAGCTGAGGTATAGTAGTGGATGAAGAGTATATCACGTATGGAGGTAGCCTTCAAGTAGGCACGGACAGGAGCGTCCCTGCCTCTTGTGTATAGATCCGAGGATGTTGAAAATAGTTCAGAGCCTAGTAAGCCTCCTCACTCTTTTCTGCGACATGCCGTGCTCCCCGATATGCTCTTCCTTGTTTGCCTACTATTCTTACCAATTCTTATGGAACGAATCATCCAAACTGCAGAAGCTCGTATGACGCTATACTGTAGTCTCTCGCAAGTGACGCATCGATACACAGCTCATACTCTCTCGTCTTCATGATCATGACTTCCCTCTAGGCTTCGCTGCAGCAGACTTGTCCATAGAGAGTCTTTGCCGCGGCGACTCCTCTCGGGAGATAGTGAGTGCCGCTACAGAGGCCGTTAGACGACAACTACTGTCCCCTCTAGTTGTTCCAAGTGATAGATCAGAAGAGATCTGGAAATGTTGTTGGCTCTGGATCGTGTGTCCTTGCTGACCTTGAGTCCGCCTCACAAAAAAAGGTAAATATCCCGAATTCTTGCGTGACCTTGACGTCTCTGGTGAAATCGATCCCATAGTGTCCGCCGGCAACACCTTCCCTTCACCCAACATCTTCCAGGTTCCTGTTGTAATAAAGCTACAGCGATCGGGATATAAAATCGTTGAGGCGGGATTGATCATACTAGAAGATGTTGGTAAGTTTGGAGGCTGAGCATCTTAGTCAATCCTAAGTCAGCTCAGTATTACTCGATTATTCTCGTCGCGGCAGTTCTTGTTGAGCTCGTCTCTCAGAGTTCTTCCAACACGTGTCTTTTATGGAATACATAGAAGGCGGTTTGGAGATCAACCTCATCGTAACTAGCATTAAGGCATCTTGTGCCATCGTAGGCTCCTTAGGTTGCGTTAGACTTTACATTATCCAACGGCGACCCCAACCGTCCCGAGTCGTTACATTACTATGATCCACGAAGCGCCAACGGTCGGGAATACTTTTTAATTAACTGATTTATTCTGATTCATCCTCAACAGATTACGCGATGGCAATCAGATCTGTGGGAGAAATACTCGAACACTACGATCGCGGTAGGTGCACTGAGGGCTCTTGCGATGGTCCACATCCCTCAACTGCAGATAAGAAGTATCCTGTCTACGGTTTTGGTGCCAAACTACCGCCGGACTATACCCATACAAGCCACCTGTTTGCATGCAATGTGAAAGTGTAGCCAATGAGCAACGGCATTCCCTTTGTTAGGGAAATTACTTCCGCCCAGAAGTGGTCGGCGTTGATGGAATCCTTGACGCCTACCGCAAGGCTCTCAAGGTGGTCCACTTACATGGCCCGACCATGTTCTCTGAGGTGAATGAAACGAGTATACGCATCAGAAATTACAGCTCTGTAGACGATACAGTTGGCATCGAACTGGGCCAGGCAGTACAGTGTTGAGAGAAGTGACGAACAGAGGTAAACTTCATGCGATGATGAGAGACAACTACAGACCAGCGTGCGAGATATGCTGTACGTAGGTATTTCGTATTATTGATCATCACAGACGGAGTCATTGTGGACCTCCAAGCTTCTATCAATGCGATTGTAGACATATGTTGACTCGAGCGTTCTATGGGCTTGTCGTGACACCTCTCTTGCCAACTGATATCTATTGACATCTCCTTCCCTATACTAGTCTTATCAGGTTGACGCATCGAAGGCGCCACTATCAATTATCATTGTTGGAGTCGGTGATCAGGACTTAGGCTTGATGGTCAGTTCTCCCTCTCTCCAGTGGGAGGCTGCCTCGGTTTGACTTCTTATCTTGACCAGATGAGGTCGAGTGAACCTCAGCAGTAGCCTTTTAGGACGTACTCGACGCTGACGATCACCCCCTAGTGTCATCATTCGATCATTCAACTATGGACAGAGACATTGTGCGTACTCAGACTCTGAGGCTCAGAGTGTCTGTGACCATTACAGCGCCCTTAAGGTGCAATTTGTACCTTTCAACGAGTTCAAAGACAAGCCGTACACTGAGCTCGCCATGGCCACACTCGATGAGATACCACGAGAAATAGTGAACTACTACTACAAAAAGTAGGAGGAAATCGTGAGATCACTGCAACCCACGCAGAGTCACTGACAGTCTGTCAGACATGGAGTTCCTCCGCGGCCTCGGCGAGATGCTGTTGACGGTCTCGACGGTGAGTATAGGGAGACTTTCGCGTGTGCAGCATATGCCTTCCAGAACCCCTCAATAGTGATCTCTTCGAAACACCAGAATGCATAGAACGACAGAAACGTCGGTGTTTGAGAGTTCTACGCGAAGTACCAGTTCAATGCCAACTGCTCTTCGAGAAGACTCTTCGCAGTGTGGGTTGGACACGGATGAAGCAACCCGATTGATTGAAGATTCGTTGCCATGTATCGATGATGAGTACCTCGAGGTATGTATTTGGCATGAAGAAATGTAGACTGTCCTCACACTAATGATCATTTTCCCTAAAAATGGTGGAAACTGGGTAAACACCATTGATTACCGCATTTCTCTAACTTCCCAGCCGGAACGAGGACGGATTTGCCATTTATAGGCGTTGGCCGCACGCGCTTCTGAGGACAACATAGGCGGTCCCTTCGAACGGGTGAGTCACTCTTTCCGAGGTGGAATATTCTTCAGAGCTACAATTTTTCTGTGAAATGCTTCAAGCAAAATTCAGCATTGTTTTGACGTAGAAGAAGAGTTACCATCTAAGTCAACAGAGGAGCATATATCGCTCGCTCTCTCGATCCTACACTCTTGGAAGGCACGCCCTTCACTAAGTTTCTTCTGAAATCAAAACAATACAATGTGGTTCTTGCTCACGGAATATCTCTGTTCGGGTTGGCACATAGTCTCTGCTCCACTTGCAGGCCCTTTCGTCGACATTTAAGAATAAATCATATAGAACATGTGAGCACTCATCATCTTCAAATCAATTGGCGTGCCGCCGTGTCTCAGCCGCCGTACCGAAGGTGTCTTCCGCTCGTGTTTCAACACGAGAAAAACTGTCCGTACATGAAATGGCCGGTGGTTCCTGGGGACAAGACAACAACATGAAGTCGGCGCCCGAGAACGGGTGTTCTCACATCAGTTAGTATCAAATGGAGTTCACTGAGCGGAGAGGTTCTCTGAATTGCAGTTTCTGAATCACTTGGGCCCAAAGCCACGGAAGGCGTTCCATCGAAAGGTGTGCACACGGTAGACTGCCTAGTGTGTTTCTCGCTGGTGTCAGTTGTGACTACTGAGTAGTCACAACTGACGTTCAACTGGGAGGTTTCACGACCCCACCCATTGAAAGTGCTTGGCCCCAGCTACGCACGTGCTTAGGTGGTAGGAGGAGTCGGCGCCGGCACAGCAATCATCGACGGAGATCTGATCCGAGACGCTCCCGCTCCCGTGTGGATAAGGACAGTAGTCACACTCTTCCTGGTCTGGACGAAGTGAGGAGAAATCGTTCGAGCGATTGGCTACTTATGATTTTGCTCAGGAATCAGGCATGTGTAAGGTGTGCTTCGAGAATACTACTAACACTACTCTACTACCATGTGAGTTTAACCTGAACTATGTAGACATCTTTTTTGTTCAGGCAAACACCAATGCATGTGCTTCGACTGTGCTACTGGCGTCAGAGACAGCAGCGGCAAGTGTCCATTGTGTCGTCAGGACATCGACGCTGTTATCGAGGCTATACACTCTTGATCATTCTTGCCGTGCCCTATATTTCTCTCCACGTTACCCACACGTGTTGCCTATTGTATGTGCGTCTCGGTAGAGTAATGACTGAACGCAAGGCGTCAGCGTGTTGCTTGTTAATCAGTCTCCGATTCAGCACGTGTGGTTTAGCTTGTGTAATGTCACAGCCTGCTTTGTGCGTGCATCATCCATACCGGGTCGAGATGGGATCAGTTGGAGCAACGTTGCAACGACCGGGGGGAAAGACCACCGGATCTGAGTTCTTGTGTGTTTTTTTCGAGGAAATCCCCTATGGAAGAGCTGTTTGATAAAGCTCGAGAATGTTTTGTGCAAACGAACATGAAACAGACCTTCATGGTCACGCTCCGCGAGACAGTTGATCATCGACTGTTGATGTGATGACGTTGGCATGCCGCTCAGTTGCCTCATTCGATAACAAAACCACGTCAGGCGTGCTAGGCAAGGTGGCCGAAACCCATCGGAATTCTCTCATGATTGTGAAAGGGGCCAGCGGCGAGAGTTGGAGAGACCCATTACTCAAGGGCGGGCCTTTCGTTCGATCAGATGGGCACTAGTGGTGTGTAACACAACTTCAAAGGGAGGACACTTTTTCCGCAGCAGCCTGTAGATTTCTTTGCTGCCGCTGGGGACTAGCTCGCACGGCTCAGATGGAAACTATGATAGCAGTTGTTTCGAGTTCACCATGGAATACCATGAGAGCAAAGCTGAGCAGTTACAGGTGAGCACATCTTCGGATCACTGCGATTATTCTTATCTTCACATAGGAACACGATATGGTCCCTATCGACGATACTCAATTCGAGGAAAATGAACAAGTTGTTGCTAACAGGGCAGAGCCCGAAGCCACTAGGTAAAGGTCTCTCCGCCCAATGCTCACTCAGCTGCCATCAATACAAGTTATATGAACTCGTGAAAACCAATGCCCAGTCTAATACAACTCATCGAACCCCGGGAGCACAATCGGGAGATGGTATAGACGTCGTAAATCAGGATGGCCTCCATTTCAGGCAGTCTATGGACCAAGATAATAGCAGTGAACCGAGTGGGACCCAGTCGGAAGGTCAGAGGCTGCTCAGTAGGCCGTTAGGTCGGGCAGTCCTCCGAGTCTATCTAGACTGATTATATCTCAGTTCAAGACTCAAACTCATCTGAACCTGAAGACAGGATCTGTCACCTACCTCACTTCATAGACAGATTACTACTAGAACAGTAGGACAGTCCGGAACAAGAGGATCATTCTGATTTAACTACAAGATTACGCATAGGGGGTCGTGTAGGTATCTTGAACGTGAGTTCCTCGTTCGGCTACCCTTCATGGTATGGTTGCCCATACTGCTCATATTAGTAACTATGGAGTATCCCACTGGGATAATGTAAACATGTCGAATGAGCCATCTGGATCATTCGGAGATCTCAGGTTTGAAATTCACAGCAATCTCCGTAATCATCTAGGCCTGGACGATGTGGCCGAGGCGACTACCTCGGACACTATATACAGCTTCCTAACAGACACCTTCATACCAGGCATGAGCGGGATGAATCCCGCCGACGATGAGTTTGTAAATAGCACCATGACTGATGATGGTAAGGCGCTGGTCGTCCTGTGCTCGATCTTCATCACTTGTATCGTCGCTGATTCATCATCATCATCATCGTACTCTTACTATCGGAGACCAGGGGATACTTCACTGTGAATCATGGCTGAGCGGGATGGGATTTTTCTTGGAAATTCCCATCTTTGTCAGGGTTCATCGAACTGAGCCAGAAGAAACCATACCGTCAAGCGACTGCCCTCGTGACATACCCTATACTCTACATAGTGGGACGACTTCCTAGTGCCTGACCAATGATTGAGCTGTCCAGGTTCGCGGCCCGGATTCGACAGGCAAGTGCAGTGATCTTGGGGAATTCGGTCAAGCGTAGGAGTACAACCCTGTACTCTCGTAAAGATTGGCCTCCGTATAGGTATCAAAATTTCTTCCGAACATTCTATTACTGCCACCTGCTGCCGATGAGCCCAGTTGGAAATACATCGTCACAGTCTACTTCAAATTCAACAGAGAATAGCACTGCTACAGGGTAGCAAAAACCCGATCAGCCTCGGTCTGCCCTTGCCATGTACAGCTTCCAATGCGGCGACGATCCGAGCTCCCTTCCGGACTTGCTCCGGTGTTTCGATAAGAGTTCCGATACTGGTAGACCTCAACGATCCTCGAAGGATCATCCTTCTGCATAGCTATGCGTCCGGTTAGACAGTCTGCCAGCCTACCAGTCGAGTTGGCCAGTACAGAATCATATAGCTCGCGTGATGGTGAAGTCGGGGGTCACCAGGCAGGCAGCCGTTGATGTGGTGAGGTTCTTCCCACCTTTGGTAATCTAATATGTAACGCAGTCAGGCGCCTACGGTAGATCGGATTGCCTTCTACAAGGACAATAACTGGATCGACGGCTCGGCCTCGGCAGTGGGTACTCTGACCACCTTCTATACACCCGTGGCTGACATCTACACCTTCGTCTCTGTAAAACAAAGTTCTTCTGCCTGAGTCGTGTCGATGCCCAACAGTGCAGGTGTTCTACGAGATAAGCGCAGTGGGCCACATTGAAGGCTCTGTGTACCTCAATTCGTTCAAGGATGTCAGCCCTGTTGGTAACGATCTATCACCTGCCACCCCTAGTTTGCCACTGTCGGATCTGTGGTCAGCATTCTGGTTGGTCGGTATGCTCTTGGCCATCGGACTCACACTAGTCCAGACCGGAATAGACATGTTCCGGGCCTTCCATCCAGGCCACCTTGCCAGGGGAGTCGGAATGAAGGAGTACCTCCTTGGTGAGCACAAGGACTGAGCTGCCTGAGCTCTCCTGACTCGTTAATCTAACAGGAATGCATGCCGTCCACCTAGGGATCCCAGGCCATTCGAACGAATCTACCAACAAGGATGGCGGCGGCCCTATAGCCGCTGAAGAGTTCGCTGTAGGGCTACACACCTTGCAGGAACAGCACTCCCTTTTAGAGCTCCGCAAATGATGAATACCATGCTGCGCTGCGCAAGAGGAAGAAAAACCTCAGGGCTTCAGCGGTAGGCGCTTCCCCAGGCTCGTTACTAATCATTCATTTCTTGAGGCAGCACCAACTCGTCCGATCGTTTCCAATCAGATCTTCGAGTCCCTGTGTGACCTTTTCGTCTTGTCGACCTTGATCCTCAAGCTAGCCGCCTACTTGCCGTCAGTGGGATTGACCGTACCGACTGTGAGATGCCGGGCGTCTCGTATCGATTTGTTAGGTACCATCCTTTCTGGGTACGCTAGAGTTCTCCAAGGTTGCTCTTAGTCTCCTTAGTTGGGATCCCCACACAGAGACCGCCCAGTATCTGGCCGACCTGCACCGAGCATCACAAATCGAGACGTAGATTGACAGAAGAAAGATATTTGGTGATGTCGTTAGTTTCCATCAGATTAGCCGACAGCCTTCGTACACTGACAATGGTCACTCTATGTGTCTGCTGTAGCCGTTTCGTCTTCTTTCTGGCTACTCATCCAAGAGTAGCTATCCTTGCCGAGACTGTCAGGTCTGGACACCACTTGATGTGTTCAAGCTTAACCATATCCCTGTCAGGATTGGCTCCGATGATATGTTTCATTTCTTCATTCTCTTCGCCACACTCTACTCCCTCCTCGCTTTCCTGGCTCGTTGGGTCTTCGGTGACTCCCTGGCTCAGTTCAAGAGCTTTAACGCTGCACTTTACACGCAGGTGAGTCACCCTTGCGGCATGTTTAAGGCGACAACCCTTCAGTTCCAAATGCTGATAGGGGAGTGGCCGTTTGACGACTTTGATGGTTACGAGAACCAAGGCGTGATGATCTTTTATATGATCTTATTCGGAATAGTCATGTTCTTCATGGTTCTCAACTTTTTCCTCGCTATTGTGGTGGACAGTTTTGAATCGACCAAACAAGAGATAGAAGAGTGAGTAAGGCATGCCAGGGTGACCCTTGGCTGATCCACCAGCTTTCTGGCTCGCCATTGGTACATATCAATCAAGGCTTGTTCGAGGCTCCCATAGGAATTACCTTCTTGACAGCATTCGAATGAGGTTCCCTATATTATCAATCAGGCTGTAGCTATTGAAACGATAACAGCGGTTCGGGTGTGGCCCTCCCTCGTAGTGGCAAAGTGAAGTGGAGTCTCCACTGTAGACCCGAACGCATGGTCCGCTACACTGGGCTGGATCAGAATGCCACTCAGCATAGGCATCGCGATCTGAATGCTAGCGTTGAATTATTGTTCAATAGTGTCAGAAGGCATACAGTGGCTGGAGGCCTACTGCTAGATACAAAGTGGAGGGTTCTCTATTCTCCGATGTATGGCACCTGATGGTTCAATTCGTTATGAGGCAGGTGGGCTCAAGCAAATGATTCATTAACGAACCAACACCGGGCTCGCAGATGAGGCAATGGCCGTCTCGGGCAATTTTCGTCGAAAAACTTTCCAAATACCGCGAAGATGCTGCGAGACAAGTAAAACTCCTGTTTCCCTGAGGAGTTCATCACCGCCTTGCAATTAGACTGGTGCTGCCCTCCCAGATGAGAGCGGAATAGTGGTACAGACCAGTGAAACCAAAAAGGTATCCCTAGAGAAGTTTAAAACGTAGGGCACCCCATGGGTCAACTTTAAAGATGGACAAGTCACCCCGCGATAGGTATTTCGACTCGCCTGCAGAGAGGGAGGGGGTCGAAAGTATGTTTCATTACTATCACGACCACTTCGCACAGGAGCCGGAGGACTTTCTCCATCCACTGTTCGGCCGATCACAGAGTGTTAAAATACAGATGGCCTCAGCGGTAAAGCTGGGCATCCTTATCAGGGAGCACAGATCTCGCTACCAGGTCCAGGATATAGGCTCACTCGTGAGCAGCATAGCAGTTGAGACAGATCAGTTCATGACCGAGATCCGAGATCGGGTTGCCATGATGTCGCAGAAAAGTGAGCGTCTACTGATCATCCTGGGGGTCTATTGTGGCCAGGCGCTGATATGGTTCGAGAGGTCACTAAGGAGAAACTGGAGAAGGCGAGATTGAAAGCAGACTTAGCAGTTGCAAACAAGAAACTGCTATATGTGAGTTTCTCTGGATGACGTTCGTGCGCTGTGAGCCAGTAAGCTCAGTTGGAACAAGAAAATGGACAACTCCGCAAACGGTTGGATATCATCACTTCAGAGAGCGCAACAGCGGGTACTCCCTCTACCAGCGTTGTTTATTGTTGCAGTCTCAACTTAGATGATATAAATGAAATCGTCGACCCCATCGAGCGGAAACTGGCTCTTCTCGATTTCGTTATTAAAGCTGTCAACAAACAGCGTGCTCTGTTCGCATCCAGAGTGGCAGGAAATGTAAGCTCATAGCTAGTCCGTAACTATCACTGACTGTATGCCCGTGAGAGCTAAATGCATTTAGGTCGCCTTTTTTTCCTGCAGTTACCCCTGCCGAAGCATACGTTGGAGTCGATCTCGACCGGGATGACCTTTGGAGTGATCTCCATACCACACATCCATCACATTTAGCTGGTTGGGCTCAGGTCCCCCATCCTGACCAAGCACTTCCTCCAGCGCTACCGCCGAGTGTGGCAGCAAAGAGGCATCAGAAGGCACTTCTGAGGGCAACCAGGAGGAGCCCACGGCACATTAGGCCTCAGGGAAAGGCCACCTTGTCACGGAAGAGACTAGTGAGCACTTTGAAACAAGTGGAAACCACTAGATCCCATTCAGCTACCCGCTCGCGCTCGAACAGCATCACCGACCAAGTCCAGTAGGGCGGCATCCGACCCGGCCGTTTCGTCGCCGGAGTGAGACAAAGGACCCCTGCATTCGGCCAGTTGCACTGGTCCCGTTTGATATGTTCTGTTAGAGCCAGGGAGGAGCCTATCAGGACTGGACAGGAAGGAGATCCTCCGGAACCATTATCAAGGAGCCCCACTCTCACACGAGCCCCTACAGAAGTGAGGCATGATGTGCACGAAAATGGCGACACCAGTATTGTATAGGAAGCACTTGGACCATCAGAAGATCCATCTCATGATGAGGGTGGAAATAACGCCGAAGAAGGGCCTTTTCGATATCACATACAGCGGCGAGACGGCCATTACGACTATGATCCTCAACGCCGTCCTTCCGGCTTTGCAGAGTGAGGGAGTATTCTGTAAGGGGATTAGTGGTACCCTTCAGACGGACCACCAGTAGTGAAGAATCCAAGAAAGATGATGCCCCCAATGAAATCGTAAACTTTCGCTGTTTGACGGTCACGAGCCGTCTGTATATTGTAGGCTCGAGTGACTGGGGAGGACGCTCTTCGTCAAGACAGCATCCTGGACCCCGGGGCGCTCGGCAGTGAGGTTTCCTTGAACGCCGAGGGCTATCATCTACTGATGCAACAAGTAGGTTAAGTAGACTACGGCTCAGAACCATATCAATATCAGATTTACCGTTTCCATTGTACTGAGTTCCAACTCCTCATCTTCATGGACCGGTTGGCTCAAAGCATGGATCTCGAGATTGTTGATCATGATGCAGCTCATGATGCTGTAGCACTACGAAATGTTGAGTATTATTCCGAACGCCCTACAGGTTTCCGACCTTCTCACGAACATGAGAGAGCCCATAGAGAGGGAAGCCAGTCGGGGCTTCGCGCGACTGCGCGATCTAGTGATCGACGCTGCATGGACTCAGCGGAGACAGAGAGCGTTTTTATAGACACTTGTTTGCTGAGTTCCAATGGGGTTCGTCGCGGCTCGTCGTGGAATAGATCCACTCTGCGACTCCCGAGAATGGGTCCTTTCAGTCTGAGACTTCTACTGCTCATCACATGCCCGGCATTATCTGTTCAACCAACGACCTTATCAAAGAGCTGGACAACTTCATCTGGCTGCATCGGCTAAGTGATGCTTTCGACCAACTACTCCGTTACTCTTATCCTGCGCACCTCTCCCACAAGTTCGTGCGTGATTTTCGCTACATCTCGACGCACGTCACCTCTTACGAGATGAATGAAGGGTTACTGATGGCGAAACTGAGAGAGCGGGGGTATCCTCCCCAGCAATGGACGCCTCCCTTCGTGGGAGTCCTCGGATGGTTGCTGAACATTTCCGAGAAAGACCGCTTCGCAGCATTGTCAGAACTCAGTGTTGGTCACACTGAAATCCTTATAACCGAATTCTGCAGAAAGGAAAGGCTTGACGACCACATCTCTGCCCGTCTCCGACACGAGATAGCTTACGACGCCGTTCCCCACGATATCTACAGAGCCATCAAGGACAAGTCAGTCCAGCCTGAAATCATACAAACTCCGGTTGTGGATCACTCTAACGGCGCAAGAGAAGAGACGGTTGATTGCAATGCGTCAGAACAGCAGAGACTGGAAGGTCCTCGCCGATCAGTATTATTGAAACCGCGAACTACTGGTATATCTAAACCCATTCGTTGTAGTTCGCATAAGGGAGAAGAGAGGAAGTCAGAGACATCCTTCAGCAAACAGACACGTGCTCTGGCTCCACATGGCAAAGAGCAGGAGCATCGTAGGCCATCCTCGCGCACAGGAGTTGAAGCTCGTGTGAGTGCCGATAGAGAGAGACGCACCCCAGTCCAGGTTAAGTCTGAGAGCTCCGACCGCACCCCCCAGCGCGCATGGTGGCAGCAGTATGATCCATTGTGAGCTGGTATACAAGCATTCATATTTTGTTCATTTTGTGTGATTCATCTAGTAGATGCGTCTTGAGGGATCCGTTCCTCTTATCTGTAGAGCAAAGACGCTTCCCCATGATATGTTTTTTTGGTAAGTAGAATTTTTCTAGTGAACTTCCTGTTGACTTTGGCAGTGACATCATCCGGGACAGACGGCCATGATGAAAGATGACACCAATCAAGATTGAATCGCGTCAATGATAGTGAGACCCCCTATCGATCGTGTTGAATTTCGATGCTTGCTCGACATTCCCATTAAGTTGGGGATGAAGTCTTGCCGAGTGATGGCCTTCATCATCCCAGGAATATGAGAACCCCTCCGCCGCATTCAAAACTATCCAAGTTCACCCTTTCGTTCCGCCAAGTTCACGGATTTCCCCTCCATGTAGTTCATTCGTGGTTGCATTTGCGATGCGCCTCATTCAACCGTAGGTGAAAGCCAGTCGGAGAGCTTCTGATCACTTCTGTTTGTGCGAATTCCCAAGTGTCGGGCACTCGAGTATTGGCCCGTTTCATGTACATACGTACCGAGTATGCCGGCTTCAGTGAATGACACGAGTTAATTGGTGTCATTGTACGGGCTATTTTTGACCGAGGTCTAGCGAGACGTAATTGTTCACATCTGGTCTAGTCTGTGTTACAAGACCAGCCACGAGGGATCGACCACCTTGCAGTTGCCGAAAGCCACGAAACACGAACCCACTGCCTCTGCCACTGCCTCTCCCAAACTCGCAGGTCAGAGGTTTCGCCCTGTGCATTATAGTCTACGACATTAGTTTCTGGTAGCACTGTGTTCCAGTAACACCTTCCATACAAGCATGGGAGTATACGACCACTAGACAACACCACATCTGCTGAACTTCTCAACTTTCGTGAGGAAAGGTTCACTTGTCAAAATGAAAAGCATCAAGTGGGTCAAATCACACAAAATAATACTGTTAAATACCAGCAATAGTAACTCGTCTCTTTTCGTTCTTCTGTTGTCTACCCCTACCAGGTCGTTGGTCTATAGCAGCGTTCTCTGACGAGGAAGACCTGCCAACTTTGGGCACTGCTAACAAGCCTCTTTCCGAGTCCTCATCGTCGTCATCTGACTCAGCCGAGTGGGTTATTGTCGGAGCCACTGTAGAGCAGTAGTACGTGTTACCTTGAGATAACATAAAGTTTATGTTTATGTCATAAACGCTACAAGACAGTAGTGAACCTTACTGCTGTAGTCTCGCAAACGACTATGTTCTCTCTCTCTGTCGACAAAGTAGGTGACCATCATTCCTTTCCCTTTGATTTCCATCAACCCACGACAAGTAAGATCGAACGAGCCTCTCAACTCTCGTGCAGTTTCTGCTGTACAATGTACTCTCATCTCCTCACCATGGGATTCCATCCTGAGCGAAACTCTCCCAATAAAGAGCCCAGATGTTTCTCACCTTGAGGCAGTATTCACACAATCTCCCCAAACATCATAGATGAACTTCTTACGGCCAATCACACCAGCAACACAGTGACCACTATGCATACCAACTCGGATCCTCAAGGGCTTCCCCAAATGATCCACCAAACCACAATCATCAACTATGCCTGGGTCTTCCAACACCTACAAAAAAGACAACCGTCAAGGCAGCCCCCGTGACGACAAGGCTCACTTCTATCATCCGGAGGCCCATCCTAGCAGCCGCTTGAGCATGCATAGGATTAGGGTTAGGGAGACCCGCCGCCGCCATATACGCATCTCCAATCGTTTTGATCTTCTCCAACCCACAGTCTTCGGCCATGTCATCAAAGAGTGTAAAGAGCTCATTCAAGAGCTGTACCAACTCCTCAGGGGTGATGTGCGAACCAATAGTAGTAAAACCAACAACGTCAGAGAACAATATCGATACAGACGAATACGCTTCAGCAAAACCAACAGTCATTTGATAGTTCAACCGCTGCGACGAAGTAATTGCAGATCCCCTGTCATAATCACGCTGCGCGAGCTGCTCTTCTTGTCGTAGCAAATCGTCCTGGTTTTCTTTCAACTGCCGAATGATCGACCCCGGCAACACATTAGAGAGCAATCGTTCAGATCGATCGGACTCCGTGGCCAAGGTGAGTGAGAGAACATAGTCCTTACGGCAGAGGGACTCGTACATATACTGCACTGTGGCTATGAGAGCCACCGAACCGACAAACAATAACAAGTCCGGCGCGGGCGAGTCGAAGAGAACAGTGTTGATCGCAGGACTCTCCACAGCTATCCATCGTAGGGATAAAATGCAAATAAAGAAATATATCGCCAGAACGATAACATGGACGAATCTGAAAACAAATAGTACAAAGGAGCTTCGCTCCGCTCGAATTATCATAATTCTTCCAACAATAACCTATAACTTCTACTCCAGATGAACAACTAAGTCGAGACTTACCGTAGGTTGAATATACCCGCTATAGCAGCAACGATAACAGCAAAAGTAAGCGGTTCGTGTATTTTCCATGTATAATAGTCCAGGACCTGTTGACAATGATGATGATGATGACGATGCGAAGGGAAGCTTCCTGACTTACCAGAGGCGCGGTATACATCCACACAATTACAGCCGTACCGCAAATTGCACCAAAACCAAGTTGCAACATGAAGTAGTTCTCGAGGAACCACAGTGACGTGCTGAAGAATACCACTTCCATCTGAGAAAAAGGCGGAGCGATGCAAATCAGAATCCTCAAATCGTATAAAACTCACCACTAGTTTTATCAGAGCCGCGAAAATGAGGAGGACCGTCGGTTCCCCTATAAACTGCCTCACAAATGTGATGCTGTAATCTTTATTATTATTCAGTTCGAAATGCAGCCATACATATAGCATAATACACGCTACCGCGAGGAAGCAGTACCAATACGGGTACTTCCGAGCTCGTATAGCAAAGTCGACCTGAATTGGCGAAGGTGTGGTATCATCACACCCTCACCGTCTCACTTGGAACCCCTTCTCTAGTGCTGCATCGTCTGTGTACTCCAACGTAAACCAGTGGGTCGGTTGTCCAAATGTGCTCCACAAGGACTTCAGCTCGAGATTAGTGTATGGGACCTAGTTATCATCATCACCAGCTCAGCAGTGTTGGAGGAATATATATTCACTCTCCTCGGCTGAGCTCAGGAGTTTCCAGAGCTACAATACGAGAATTTACACACGAATCCGCGTAAAAATGTACAAAAACCGACGAAAATTTCCCAAAATTTTCCGCATATTTTCCCACTGCTCTTACCTGACTCCACCTATCAGCCGATCCCACAATCTCCCCACCAAGTAAGAATCGGACTCTCCAGGGCAACAGGCGCTTCACTTTAGCGTAAAAGCCATGAGCTTTCATTCCACCACTGAAAAATACCAACAATAACAACACACGTGAACAACTTGCTATCTTGCATTTCCTCAACGCTTTCACTAATCCGATCCTCAAGAAATGATGATGTGTTTTTATATTCACCCTCACCGTCGTTGCCGAGCATGCCTAGCTTCCTGAATAATTCTGCGACACTTTTGTTTGATATTGCCAATTGACGGTACGCGGGATAAGGTCCTTCTCGCAGGTGCATCCTGAGCAGTTTGTAGCAGTGTTAAGGAGTAGGAATATATGTTCGCTTTCCTCAGCTGCTGAGTTTAGGCGTTTCCTCACTGCATATAGGAGCTCATATACGAACTACAGTTGCAGTGTACAGAAACTCACGAAAATTTTCCAAAATTTCCTCGAAGTTTTCATATTGTCGCCTACACATGTCGTTGACCATAAGCATATTTTTCCAAACTGGTACAGAAACCAATGAAAATTCCCCGAAATTTCCACATTTTCACGAAACTCAATTTTCCACGTATTTTCCTAGGAACACATTCTTCGAACAGTTTCCCATGTGAATGCCATCATCATATTATGAACATCTTTTCCCCATTGTTATCAAACTCTGGGGAAGCTACCTTGTTCCCATAACTCTACTCACCTTCCCACCCATCTGTTGAATTACTGACTCGGAAATCCCCGTACCTGTTATACGATATAATGGAGTTTCACCACCCTAGTGATATGAAAAACACATTTCACGACTACTACAGCACACTGCGAATATCGCGTTTTTCACCAAGTTTTACTCCACTTCACGTAAAACGGGTGAAACTCGAATATCGCGTTTACAATGTAACAATGGCTATGAACATGTGTTGTGATGAAAGCACCCGTTTGAGACTGTGATGATAGCGACAACTTGTTCACTATAATAACACCCATTCGCATATCAGATCGTCGCGTACTGTAAACTAGCACCAACACTTCTTCCCTCCCACCTTTCCTCGCCGCCAACGCGTCGTCCAACAAAGCAGTAGTAGTATTAACTTCCTCTTCATCAGCATCAACGTCATTCGCCTCCTCTGCAAGTGGCAAACATGTATACCTAAACTGGCGAATTTCGTGGCGCGCGGTCAGCGATGATGAGAAGGGAGAACTGACCATAAAACTGCTAAGAATTCCGTAAGGGTGTTCTCGAAAATGTGCTCATCAATGCAGATAGGCTTGACCAGCTGTGGAGGTGCTGGAGATCTCCCGGAGTCTGCCGCTTCAGAGAAAGATCCAACCTGAAATTGTGGTATGAGTGCCGAAATATACGTTCGCTTTCAAAAATTATACAAATTTACACGCATAACGGTAAAAATGTACAGAAATCAACGAAAATTTCTCAAAATTTCCCTATAATTTTCATATTTTCACCAACAAACGCAGTTGACCATATGCCCACCTCCCCATCATCATCATCATCCATGTTGCTGCTATGTGGCCGCGACAAAATACGACCGTCATGAACCCGCACCTCCTCCATCTACAGAGAGTAATGCCGACACGAAGTGATCGGAGTGTACTACTACTACTACTACTACTACTACTACTACTACTACTACTCACCACACGATACATCCTGTCCACTAATAAATAGTGTATTTTCTCGAGATCTCCATCATAGCACAAATCGAGCAAATCATCAACAGTATCATTCACACTGAAAACTTTCAAACAAATGTCTTGCAGGTCCGAACTCATCGCTCGCCGTCGTTGTTGAAGAACTTGGCGTAATACTTCCTCTCCACTTCTCGTCCCTGAAAACGACCGTACATGAGCAACAATTATGTAATACTCACCTAGTGCTGGTGATGACCCCATACGACTGGGTAATATCGGCAGATTGCGGCTGACTACGTCCGTGGGATGTGCCGAACGACTCTACCATAACAACAATAATCAATCATGCATATGATAAACCACGTATGTTGGTGACATTATGGGAATTTTGATAAAATTTTAGCAAATTCTCAGCGATAGTTGCGATTTCCTAACCGAACTCGTATATAAACTCTTCTAATTAGCCAGGAAACTCCTGAGCTCAGCCGAGGAAACCGAGCGTATATTCCTCCAACACAAACAACAACTCGTCTCCGCTCAGGTCCACGCTGCTTACCGATTCCTCTCGACTACTGCTGCCTCTGGCACTAGCCGAGCTACGACGAGTCGAAACGTGACCAGCTTCACCTGAGAGACATCTATACATGAATGATGCACATCGTGCAACACTTCGCTCCGCTGTGCTATAAACGGAAACGTGAAATGCTAGTGATTTTATGACGTGGCTTTTTCTCACGTGCTGAGATCAATACGTACCGACTTCGCAGGACACGAGGCGAATGTAGATAGAGTGATAAGACTCACTTGGTGAGCCTCCTGGTGCCGCAGGACTAGACGATCTTCTTAACCGAGAAGGATCAGTAGTTAGCAATGATGATGATGCTCCTGATGATGGGGGTGGAGGGGTTAGGGAAGTTGTTTGTGTGGATGATTTCCGTCTTGTCTCCATTTCAGACGACATAGTAACTATCAACAACATGCTGTCCTTGCAACGCAATAGACGCTGAATAACAGCAGATAAAAAGGCGGTCAGAAAAATATCCACTTTTTATGTTGTTTCTTATTCACGCCTCTCGCCAGCCTCAACATCTCTTCAGATTGTTCACTCATCTCAGCCGACTTCGCCTGAATACCCGCGAGCTTCTCCTGGTTGTTTGCGATCTGCGCCCGCGCACGCCCAAGAATATCTTTCGTATCTTTCGCCGTTGATCCCACTGAAGTACTATCCTCCATCGAAACTCTCATCGAAACACCATTTTCAGAAGCTGCCTTCGCCCCCATCAGTTTATCCCTAATGTGGCCGAAGGTACTGCTAGCAGTAGCGACCGCCCTACTAGCCGCTCTCTGACTAGCTTCTATCACAGCCCCCTGACGTATCTGCTCCTGCAGCCTCGAAGTGACCTCCATGGTGGACTCCAACACTTCTAATCGAGAGTGATACGCTCGCTGAGCTAGCACGACTTCAGCTTCATCATCCCTCGCCTCGTCAATAGTGAAAATCGAGATACTGACCCTAGACATTTGACTGTAAAACCGCAAGATTCGTCCACCAGTGGTAACCCAAACGAATATAGGATCCTCATCGGGTATTCCTCGACCAACAACCACACCATCTTCACATCGTATCAGTTCAACTACACCCTCCTCATTGGCAACTACTAAACATCGACCGAAACCCGTCCCAGCGTCCTCGACAATTCGAGCCGCCACTATATCGCCTCCCTCACACGCCAAAACTGTCCACTTCTGCGATTCCACCAACCCAAAGCGGCGAACCGTTATCCCAGGGAATTGCGCAACGAGACCATCTACAGTAGCCAGGTCCACTTTAGGAGCCGCATTTGCAATGAGCAAACGTTGGTCGACTTGGACACGCCGACCGCTATCGGTCGTTATGATGAGGTAGTTGCCGATCGCTTGAAGGGCATGAATGAGCTCGTCGGAGTCGTAGACCTTAGATTTCGTGGCGAGTGACAAAACCGAGCCATCATAATAGCCCGCGTAGATGGTACCAACGCTGAGATCAGAACAAAGGGCGGTGATAGGCTTATCGGAGGGTAAAGTGAAAAGGATGGAGACCTGTCGAGCTGAGTAGATGTAACAACGCAGTCCATGCTGACCGCCACATAGGATCACTCCTTCCCATCTGCCGAGGTCCCAGGTTCGAATCTCAGTGGCGGCATCTTTACACAACTTCTTCAACACTTTCTCTGTTGCCACTCCCTTAGGCAACTCACACACCACACTTCGGCTCGTTGACCTCCAAGGACGCATCGAGAGCTCCCGAACGAACCCGAAAACTTCCAGCTGTCCGGTTTTGGCTTCCATCAACGTGATCAACTTTTCGCTCGCCCTGTCAAATTGCGCAGCAACAACTTCATAAGGTTCAGATGAGGTCCGATTGGCAGCTTCTGAATCGGTTGACCGGGCAATTTTCAGGATACCTACAAGTGGTAGCAATCACATCAACAACTACTTCTTCGCCCGACCGGTAGCCGCATCGAAGTGGAACTCGCCGAGTGAGGTCGCCACCGATATGATACCATCCCTCCGGAACATTATATCAAAAACGGTTTCGGCTTCTCGAGGGAAATCGATAGAAGTGCCATTAGGCATTTCCATCCACAACTGAGCAGCCGCAGATGGAGCAATAGCAAGCGAGGATTCGAACCTACGTCGTTCTCTGGATTCACCCAAACTGTCAGCCACGCGTTTGGTTGGAATTCGCAAGCAGCAATACAGCTAGCGCCGTGAAGGGCAGCGTTAATGCCGGCCTTTTGGTCAGTCAACCATCCTCTACTTGACGGGGAGTAGAATCGAACCGGGGACCTTTCGCATGATGAACCGACCATAATCCTACTAGATCACATCTTACTTTTCATTGCCGATCATCCATATTGATCCCTCCTTATTAGAGGCTAAGACCGTGACCATGCCAGCACCCCCACTAGCATTATCCAAAACTAGAGTAGTCAGATAAGGCCGACCAGCGTCACTCGCATCAACTACCTACAAAGGTGAGCAGCGAAATTGAAAAATACCAAACTCAACGAATAAGTTCCATAAGCTTGGCAGTGCGTGCTTGGGGTATAGCCTCACTCTTATTCAATCAAGATGTGTCTGCACACACGCAGGTCCACCGTGGCATCAACCAAAACGAACGGGAAAGACAACTGACTGATTTCAGAATAAAGCACGCTGGAGAATCACTGATTTCCGCTTCGCTTCGCTCAAAATCAGAATCGACTTGATCTGTTTCAGATCATCCAATGAGAGAAAAAGCCACTCAGTTTTCTCATGTGCATGCGTGCGCAGCACTACTCGTTATATCCATTCAGACTGAAAACATGGCATTTGTATTCTACGCACTTTGACAGCTAAATCAATTTTATGCATTAAAAATGACATCTGTGGGTTTCGAACCTGGGTATCCACTCATCGACGAAATTATGCAGCCGAGCAAAGACTCCCTCCTGCTCACTTTAACATTCCCTGTGGAAGTCCCCACTAGGCACATACCCGTCCTGCCAACCTGAGCCAACTTCACCACAGTCGACGTTTGGGAAATCTCTAAAGCGAACAATCTTCCCAACAACAACAACAACAACAACAACAACAACAACAACAACAACAACAACAACAACACCAACACCAACACCAACAACAACAACAATAACAACAACAATAACAACAATAACAACAACAATAACAACAATAACAACAATAACAACAACAACAACAACAATAACAACAACAATAACAACAATAACAACAATAACAACAATAACAGCAATGACAACAATAACAACAATAGCAACAATAACAACAACAACAACAACAACAACAACAACAACAACAACAACAACAACAACAATAACAACAATAACAACAATAACAGCAATGACAACAATAACAACAATAGCAACAATAACAACAACAACAACAACAACAATAATAATATTAACAATAACAACAGCAACAACATCGCCACACAACCCAGATAAACCTACCAACGACTATCGGCTCCGCCAGACCAGTAGAATCTTTCGCGTGCGCAAGATTCCAAACATAAACCACCTAAGCGACCATAGACGGTACCAAATAGAACGATCGGCTTACGTTAGCGACCGAAGCAATGACAACCCCTCTTCCTTCTAGGGCGAGTACTTCATGAACTTCTCCGGGAAAAGGTTGGCCCGGCAAAACCTGCATAACAAAAACTGCTTCGCTCCGCCCAAAATGAACGGCAGATCTCCTACAACATCCAGCTGGTCCGTATAAACCTTCAGGCCACCCCCTCGCAAAGGGAAGGCGACACATCCAAGTTCCCCATCGACTGCTGTACACTGGTAACTGACCAAAATATCGTCACCGCGCCACGAAATTATCAACTCACATCCATTTATCGCATATCCCCACTCGAGCAATGGTGACCTCCTCCCTCATACCATCCCTTCCACCCTTTACCATCACATCCACTCCTGTTGAGGCACCCCCAAGTAAAACTTGAGACCCCTCCTCATCAGACAACACCAACGATGATGACGATGAACTACTCGAACTTCTTCCATCACAGGAAGACGATGACCTGCTTGAAAAGATACCATCACACATCCTATCATCACTCCAACGCACCGCGAAGATTCCGCTACCGCTTCTACTGCAGCTCCTCCCGAGCCGGGGACTTTCCTAAAAGATACCACAATGGAGTTTCACCCTAGTGATATGAAAAAACACCAGCGAAAAACATATTTCCCGACTACTACATACTGTGAATATCGCGTTTTTCACCGAGTTTTACGCCACTTCACGAAAAACGGGTGAAACTCCAACGATTAAATCTATCAAGAAAATTTTCATCTCACCTGGCGAACAACGAGTCGATCCCCTTAGTGTCAACAGTCGGGACCGCAGGACGTTCATCAGCGGTCCGCCGTTTCCTCGCATCAGTAGATGATGCTGCTTTCTTTTTAGCCTTTCGGAAATCCGAAATTAAATCCATTCAAAACTGTGTCAAGCTACAGAGCGCCCCAAAAAAAATATCAAAAAAATCGCGAAAAATACCAAAAAAGCGTCAACTCAGAAAAAAAAATCGTGAAAAAAATCCAAATTTTCCCATCTGAGAAAAAATAACTGGGACCACGCCAAAACCAATAATTTTTCCACCAAGTTTTCCCAAAATTTCCGAAATTTCCCGATCAAACCAATTGAAAAACTCCATAGAAAACACACCCAAGCCCCTCGAAACAGTAAAAATGTATATTTTCATCATCGTTCATTTTTCTCGTGAATAAGTTGCCGCAATAACGGTAATGCTGTTCTCAACGTTTTCTCCGTCGGAAGCCCCACTGCATGCCACCTTATATAACCAAGTCGATCCACCATTAAAACTAAAAAGACGTTCTTGCTGCTGACAAAATCCGACTCTTGCATATGTGTGAACTCACCCACTGGTAGACCTGGATTATATAAATGCAATTTTGGTATCAAATCTCGTCTCCATTTTCCACGATAAACGTAGGTGTTCATCAGCTCATCTCGGCCTTCAACCTGAAATGCCCAAAAATATCTTGAGGTTCAACCACGTAAGATTCAAACCTGGTCCCGTAAAGTCAACTTCGTCAGAGGATGCGTCCTCCTGTTAATCCAACCCTCATGAAAATGCACCTACCAAGCCGACTCTCCGTCACGCGCCACAAAATTATCACCATCACCTGCACCATTTGCGTCGTATCCTCTTTCCCCTCCAAAATCGGCCGCAAATTTTCCTTCCACATTCTAACTCCTGAGTACAGTGACGACAACGGCTGACCTGGGCGAAAAATTCCGGAAAAAAACCAAAAATTTTTCGACTCACCCGAAAATATATGCATAACCGTAATCTTTCCCTCCAGCTTGTTAAACAGCGTACACGGTTTAGCCGTAAAACGCCACGACTGACTCTGAGGCTGGTATATCTACGAAATAACAAAGGTGCGGTATTAACCTCATCCGTACCATAAAATTTATCGATATAAA